CCTTGGAGGATGGGGAGGGGGGGACTGTTGAGAGTATCAACTTTCGAGCAAAGCAAGTTTTTGCAAAACACTTCAAGGACGAGGTTTTCAACTTCCAAAAAAAACGATTTTCTACAAAAACACTTTAAGGACGAGGTCTTCACCATTGTCTCGCAAGCAACAGGATGAGAAGCTTTCCTCTACTCACGTATAACAATAATTGGATAACTTTAACAATCTACACAGATTTTACCATCACTTCCAACCAAACCACTTCATTGTCATAAATTTTTGTCACTAAATTTTGAGGAGTCCGACATCTCTTCACCTCAATTTGTTTCACAAATTGTAAGTGACAAACACCAAACCAAAAGTTGGCTCAAGTTCCAAATGAACAAACTGAAAAAACACTTAGACTTCAAACCGAAAAACCTGAAACCACTATCAAAAGCTTTGAACTGAAATCATGTTAAACAAAGTCACATCCCTTTCACAAGCTCCACCTAAAGAACATCACTCTGTCATAAATCTGTCCGCATCAAAAAACTGTCATTGTCAACTCAAAATTCTAGTGACAAAATTTTACCAAAAAAAAAACCTTCAAGAAATCCCGTCTCAGTTTCAAACTGAAACAATTCAACGACTACAGATCCGCAACTGAAAACTTGCTCTGATACCGATTATGAATGTGAAATCAAGAAACCATCCAAGCCAAGCGTGAACACAAGAGACACTCGTATAACGTGGTTTATCCTCAAGGGCAACGTCCACGGATGAAACAAGCGTGAGAGTTTACTAACAACTGAATACTACGCACATCAAGTAAAAGTCTTGGGGGTATATATATACCCAACGCGAGCGACGCACCTAGCTATATATAGCTATAACCTGAGGTTAATGCTTAATCAGAGTTAGTCTCAACAATAGCCTTTTAGTATCCATGTTATTGATCTATTATAGATGTACAAGAATATCAAATTTATATGCAGAAATTTATCTATACTTCATTTCATGTTAAACATTATTTTTCTTTTTCAAATAGATTTTGATAAAATTTTGATAAAATATATAAAACAAAAACATGATTTATAGCAAAGAAATCAATACAATTGTAAATTCAAACAACACAAATGTTTTATTTATTCTTTCAAATCCAGTATTATATTTTTCAAACAAAGAGTTAAGTTTAAATTTTGTAATGATGAATATAATTTTTTTCAAATTATAACAATTTCAAGTCTTTGATATGATTGATTTCAAGTTTTATAGAATCTGCTTCTTAATTTTTTGATGATGTAGTATGTATTATTATGTAAAAAAAATAACCATTTCACATAGCTTTGATTCATTTTTTCTTATATGAATAAAAACTTCTGTGATAAATCAATCAATTCTGTGAGATATGTGGTTATCCACCAGTAAACTTAAAATTTAAATTTGAGTAAGATGATCAAACTTAACATATCAAAGATGCATGAAAGAATATGATTGGTTGAAAAGATCATAATAATATAAGGGAATAATATAAAAAGTCTGTAATAAAAAAGATACATTAAAATACTGTAATTTAGTAGATAAAGATGGAATTATTGTAATATAGATCCATATAAAATTTTGAAAATAAGTTTTTTCTGTTTCAACACATAAAAATGTCATCAATGTTGTAATTGTAATATTTTTACAAGGAAAAAATATTACAATTCAATTTACTGCTTTAATAATAACAATGGTGTTTGTAAAATTTATTCCTGAATAAATATATATGTATATATATATGTCAATTATATATTCAAAAAATTTAAAATCGATTTTCAATGTAAATATTTGAAATTTATTAGAAAAAAAATTCATTTTTTGAATACCACCCTTAACATTTGCATAAAAATAAATTATCGAAAAATAAAGTTTAGAATGATATAAGTTTTTTCATAGTTATTCTACACACAATTTTTTAATAAATAATATTTCTTCAAAGTAGATATTTAGAAACTAAGAAATACCTAGCCAAAAATCCTTTATTCCACACCAAGATCAAGCACATTAAAGTCAAAGTTCATTCCTTCGGAAAATATTTACCTCAAATACATTCACAGTGAGAAGAACCAAGCGGATTTGCTCATTGCAAATGTACTTGAAGTCAATAGTCCCCCTAAAACATCCTTTCGGTGATGAAATGATGTTTGTCTTCAATGTGCTTGGTTTTGGCATGGAAGTTAAGGGCTTGAGTAGCACAAAAGGTTGAGCACAAAGTTTGCAGCTGTGTAACACTCACTTCATTTTCGGACTTAATGCGTTCACAGATGTACCGGAACCGTTTAGAATTAAACACACATCTAGCGGCTTCAATCAAAGTAAGGTTTTTGCACTAAGAAAATCCATTTTGAGGCGGAATTTGAGTGGTGAGCTGGAGGTGTATGCCTTTATTAAGACAATATGGTTGAAGAACTTAGACAAATATTCACCACCAAAATCTGAGCACAGGTTTGACACTTTAAAGTTCCAATCATTTGTGCAAGTAGTGATGGCAACTATCTTATGTGAAAACTCGTTTTCAACTAAAATGACAAACGGTCTAAAACAGTCAGTAATGGCATTCTTAATTTAAAAGAAGTAGGTCTATATATACCGTGAGTATTCATCAATAAAAGTAAGCATGTTCCAAATTTAGCCTTTGCTATAATTTAACCGCAGATGTCCGATATTTATAAGCTCAAGAAGACAGAGTGTTTTGCTTGGCATGCTTGTTACTCTTGCATTGTTGCTTGGACAAGACACAAGTGACTCACTTTGATCGCGGCTTGAGGGTTAGTAAAACAGACCATGCATAAAATATTTGGACGACATATGATGAGCCCACTTGAAATTTACGTGACATAGTCGATGATGCCAAAGGGTCTTTGTGTCAAGGGAAGCTACAGTTGCGAGAGCCGGGTGTCTTCAGCAATTAGACAAAATCAGAATAGTCGAAGGGTCTCAAGTGTCGTAGAACTGCATGAATTTTTGTTAGTAGTCCCTTGGATCACTCATAATTGAGGGTGAAAAGATTAAATCTTATACAATTTACTCTTGGAATCCCTATTTGCATAAAGAATACACTAGTGAGATTAGTCTTATCTAGCAAAAAACATGAAGTAGGCGTAAAGAGTGCATAATGCCCGAATGAATAAGACAACTTACGAACAAGAGATTTTTGTTAACCTAGGAACATACAAAACGTGTTTGATGAAACTATTAGAGTCAAGAAGCAAAGTGGATTTCCCGCTACAGAGAGTTAAGCCCCATTGACAATGGACACTCCTACCGAAGAAGACCCTACTTGAAATAACGACAAGATAGAACGAATTCTGTGACATTACTGTCGGCTTTCCCGTCAAAATTTCCTGTGACATGACCGCTGGCTCCCCGAGTCAAGATAAAAATCAAGGCATCATTTCATTCAGTTTTTAACAAATTTCAAATAACCTTTGAAATTTGTATCGAGGTCTAGATGTTCTTTAGAAACTTTTGGAAATTCAATATCAATCACAATGGACAGCATGCAGCAGGTCCTTGCGGATGTCTTGCTGACGAGCACCATCGAGATTGTGAAGCAGAATGGGTTGGTGGATGATCTCATCCGAGCAATTTTTGGTGCGAAAGAATATTTTTGAGGCAATTAAGATAATAATCAGCACCAGGCAGCTTCAAAGACATGGAAAATTTTGAAATGTTGTCGACCGTAAATATAACAGCCTAACAGCGAAGAAGATAAAGGAGATCCAACAGATTATCCTAAATTTCTTAGTACACTACATTCGGTAACCTATACACGAACAACACTTTCGAAGATTCTCATTGCCCGATTCAAAAAGAAAGTTTCATTTGACAAGATCTTATTCCATGAAATATGTGCAAAAATATTGTTTTGCGATTGTTTTGAGGCTTGAAGAGGTGGGACTTCAAAATTCTGAGGTCACACTTGTGATGTGTAACTTCAGAATTCACACTTCAATCCACTCTTCAAATTTCTGAAGTGATTGTGATTCTGGATTCTGATGGGACTTCAGGCCACCATGGTTTGAAGAGAACGAAGCTGAAGTTAGAGGTCACAAGACTTCACAACGATGCCAAATTTAAGATTCGGTTGCGTGTTCTTGGCAAATTAACCCTGAGTTCGAGAACAGAGCCAGCTAATAGAATCGCCGTTACTCAGGTGTTCACATCGGGCAGAAATCCACAGGATATCTGCCACCATTGCGCAAAGTGCATTTTAGGTTAGTGGCGTACTAGACTCGATGTCTCCGTCGGTTTTTGTCTAAGCCACACGAGACTGTAAACTCGAGACTGTTCCACTCCAGTTGAACAGATTTACCAGATTTAGTGCTTTCTTACATAGAAATTCTACCACCGCTTTCATTCTCAAAGTTCTCATTCTCGCCTTCGACTTTGCAAGGAATGTTAGTCTCAACACCTCCATATTAAGGGGATGATCGATAATATCAGCATACGCAAACGGTTAGCTCTTTCAGAAATGCAAAGTAAGTTTTTTCAGGTCATCTTGCACAAATCATTTCTCTTCAGATGTAGGTAATCGACCTCCTATCACGGAAGCCCAACGTAAACCCGTGATTCTCTAGTAAGACCATCGTAAGGGTTATTAGAATGTTTGTACTTCTTTGGCAAAACAACTTTTCCGAGTTTCCTCCTGTCAATTGGAGTGCTTGTCAATGCTTCTTGTCATGATGCGGAGTCAAGACAGATAAACGAAGAGATTCATAGGATTCAAAAGTATGAACCCGAAGTCGAATGAAACATTGAGTGCCTCTGAATACATAGAGCTATATCGACATGGAAATGATAGATTCAACTCACTCGAAAGATGAAACTCCTGTTCGGTACCACAATTCGACTGGTAAGGACCACTAGTAGGCTGGTATAATTCTAGAGTACTAACATGTTCAATTCCAGTTTACCGAAAGAAAAAAATTCGGACGTACCAATGTAAGAAAATACATTCAGAGTGCAAGGATATTTCATTACAGAAAGAATATGGCTCTTGCAGTTAGACATGACTTTATTTGGATAAAAGCGTCAAAGTAACATCAAGAATCATTCCGCACCCACTCGGAAAGTATACGGTGCACTCAACATCGCAAGCAACTATTCGCTACCTGCTTGAGGTTATCCCAGCGAGGGCAGGAACATGTAGGATGTTGTGCAAAAGTGATTTTTTACAGAGAGTACAAAATCTTTTAGACTGCTCCGAAAATTCCTGCCGAAACAGACGCGTTAAGGATAATGCGCGAAAAAGAAGTGAATACTTGAGGCAAAATTTTGGTTTTTCTCGTGATAATGATCTTCCTGAAGTTCTAGTCCTCACTATAAATTATTGAAAAAGTGCTCTCCTCAGTCGCTAAATAGTGAACCAGAAGAAGAAAGGACAACATCAACCCCATTCAGAACATGTACACTTTACCTTAAGATCCTTCGCCCTTACTATCTTGTATTTACGTCCAACCTTCTTATCTCAGAAGCAGTATATCACTTTTGATCTGCGCGGGGATGGATCCTCATTTCAGCGGTGTTAGGAAAGGTAACTTCGGGATTTTTCTGTTTCTTCTTGACTTTCTCTTCCTCGTCTTGAATCATTTGCTTCTTGAACTGAGCCTCGAGTTCATCCAGCTTCTCACATAGGCTTACGCAGATCACCTTATCAACCTCTGCCATAACTGCATCTTGCTTTGGAACGGCCATGTGTAGTGCGGAGATATCTGTATTCATTGGATTTGCTAACACCTCTGGTATCACAATAGGGTGACTTTTCTCGTAGGTGCTTACATACTGTGATTTTTCTACAGTGATATCAAACTCATCCGACGGAGCTTCTGTTGGAGCCTCTATTGCTTTGCTGGTCAACATATCCTTCAGGACCATTTTTTTCTCCGCCACAGGGCCCTTATCATAAGGAGGAGCGAGCCATACTCTCAAAGTGGTATCCCATGATGCAGAAATGAACTGATGGCGAACTTTTAGATAGACTATCGAATGAATCTGATCCGTGTGCCCTGTATATACACAAACCTCCTCCCCTTGCAAAAGTAGAGGATAGACTCGTATACTATAGTCGTACAGGTAACTTATAAGGATATAGTCATTCTCCTCATCGACCAACATCGCTGTGACCGGTTGTTTGTGACTGCACATGGTACTCAATGCAGCTTGAGTAAGAGAATCCCAAGTGGTGATGCACCCACGCTCTGTTGCTGTCACCCAGATTCCGTTGTGAGTTGTGCACCACCTTACCTAACATACACAGCAAGAATTGGAATTACGAACGGGCCTTCACATGCCTGGTTGGGCTCTTCGTTTTCATCAGTCAGGCATCAAGGTTTCTTACAAGCATAGCGTTTCGACTCGGTGCTGAAGCTGATGGCAAAGAGAGAACCTCCACTGAGTCTTCGCATTGCGTTTATAGACTCTTAAGGATACGAGACTCCACTTTTTTAATGAAGACGATGAAGGTGTCTTACTATCTCCACGTCTCCATCGAGGACTGGAGCGTTGAGATGATGTTTAACTTTCTTGCGCCGTTCACCAAACCATATCTTCACTGTAGAATCTCCTCCACAAGTTGCCAGCTGATCTCTTGTTGGGCTGTACGTCATATCCTGAAAGAAAGCTATGGGACAAGAGATTACCATCATAATTATCTGTTCTAAGTTTATTGCAAACATGTATAGTACGCATGATGTGGTAGAAGAACAAATTCGCTGAGAACTGCTACTATTAAGATCGCTAAATGGAAATCCGCACCTGGAATGGGTGATCTTGGGCCATCTCATAAACATCCGTTGGTAGCCTGGTAGACAAATCCCAAAATCGCAGGCTCTTGTCTGCAGATGCTGAAACTAGTATCTGTCAAATAAGTGAGTAGGCGCATGAGCGGCTAAGAAAATCTAACTAGTTTTACTTAGACTTGGGGACTTTTTGTAACGTTCTGTGTCTAACTCAGAAAATCTGATCACTATGAGATATGTCCTACATGTAAGGAGATCAATTTGCATGTTTGGCTTATAAGATAGTTCATCAAATCTCCATAGTATATATTTAATAAGCTGATTACAACACACGTCGATGCCTCTCAACCTCAATTCCATGTCTGAAACTTGTTATGAGGACCACACAGAAGATTAGGTTCTCGTTGTAGCCCAGAGTGGTATCCCCGAGATAGTACATAAACTCTACATATTTACATGCATGTGGTCCAGAATGCGGACCTCAACTGTGAGAAATATGTCTCTCTGATAAAGCTCACATTTTCACAGCAACATTAACACAACTAGCAATCCTTGTCCTGTAATATTCACTTAGATAGCAGATTTCGCATTCAGAAGCTATACCAGATCTGGCAGAGCACATAAAGCGACAATTTTTCCTGTGTGCCCTCTGAGTATATCTGGGCCGTGTGCTTTACGAGTTGCTGATCTCCACAAAGGGACGCTTCTATAGCCATCCATGTTCCAGATGCTGATGTCGGAATCTCCAGAACCTGCATAAGCGATTACATACAAACTTACTACTTGCTTCTTTACACAAGTTCAACCATCGCCAAAGGAATTAAATGGTTTATTCAAAGAGAAGCAAACCTGTGATTAATAGATCTAGCTCAACATGGTGCAACATGCAGTTGATAGAACGGTTGCATCTCGGTGCTATTTTGGAGTACACCCAGATGTCCTTGTTCGGATCTGGGTTTGGTATCCACTTGATAATCTGCCCGTCAGAACTCCCACTGAATATCTCAGGCTCATAGGAGATCATCCTTATTTCCGATGCTCCAGAACTCGAGGTTGTCGCAGCTGTTGAAGCTCGCACGCTAGAACCGCTAGTGTCTGTATTAGATGCTCCTGAGAGTGATGAACCTGACATCGAGCTATGTGGTGTTCCGGCATTCCTAATGCTCTACAGGTTGAACCATATCCAACAAAATGAGGCTTAGTTTGATAAATATAATAGATTTATTTTAGATCCTCATAAGTAGATAAACAATGGGTGACAGGTCGACGGACAATCACACCATAGAGATGACGGTTCACGACTTCAGCCTATCCAGCTCCACAAATTGACGTGAGAAGTTACAGCGGGCAGGCTGATTTCATTGCTTACCTTCCGTTTTCTGAGTTTCTTTCGCTCGGGCATAATATCAGTGGTGTCTTTAATCAGAAGTCTCTCCTTGTAAGCTCTTCTTATAGCTATGAGCAAAACATCAACCCAAGTGGAGTGACCATGTAACACGCGGTGAGGAACACATCGATCATACCTCCAGCAGACAAGTCTCCGATCTACAGTGCAACCGACCACTATGTCCTTCGTATGGTCATGTAAAACCTGGTGCAGTAGAAACTCAATTACATACCCTGAAGTCCAACCTCGACTTTGTTTGAATATAAATTCCCAAGATCTTAAGATTAGTAGGCCTGGAGGAAGATCCATATAAATATCGTACGTAGGTGGCTGATCGAGCGAACAACTCACTTGGACTATTGCGTAATCATGGAAAGAGGACGTGTCTTGAATCCACTCTGTCATGTCAGCAGGTGCCGCAGGATCGATTACCACCACCGAACTATAGGAGATATCAAGAAAGTCAAGCAGAGTTGCACTCCTCTAAAAATTCAAACTTTGAACCATAATACACACAGTGATTACAAGACTCAGCTTCTGTTCCTGCCTCAATGGTGTGAGCGTATCTCTTTATAGGTTTGTTGGCCAGGTTACTAAACAACTCAGCGTTGCGTGTCCGAGCTGAATTTAGCTAGAGGCTAGAATGTGACCTACAAACAGGAACCTGGGTTTAAGGGCAGTAACTTGTTCTTTCCAGTAATCCAGTAACATCTTGTGGAAAAAACGTAGGCAATGGAGGTTACGCAGTCAGTGATGTTATCAAAACAATCGAGACAGTGCCCTTCTTGGCTCCATATCTTCACGCAACCATCATAACCTCCAGTAACGAGCCATTTACTATCCTTGTCGTAAGTAACAGTCGTAATGCCTCCCTGCATGTTCGGGTTGTGTTTGTGTAAACATCAGGGAAAACTTACCTCCACATAAAGATCAGCTCTTCTAGTCAAACATCACATAGCCAGATCTATAGTGCAAATGTTCCACATAATTCTCGGTTGTCGCACACCATATAAACACTTTACTTTCTAAAACATACAGACACAGATAATCTTGGAACGATTTTATCTTCACTGAGATTGCGCTCCTGATTAACAGGATGAAATTTTCAATTCTTGAAAGCTACAAATAGTTTTCTATATTCTTCATTACTGTGACAAACTTGCAAGTGCCTTGGATACTGTTCGTGGACAAAGTTCTGGTAACACAAGGTGAAGGAAATGGGATGGGTAGAAGAAAACCGGCCCGCTTCTGAACACGCACCTCATGGCAGTTTGGAATCTTTCGAAGAGTGTCATCCGGCCTGTCACCATCGAAGAAGCAGAGGGCCCGATCCAACCTGCCAACATTCCTCCAAACTGTAAAGGCATAAGTTCGATCTCTGGACGTTCAAACGTGAGTGCGCAGTGCATGTCTCTCATGCCACTATACTTGTGATGGTGATCTTGCGGATACTCACAACTACAACTTTACCCTGATAGGTAGGCCAGAAGTGGCGACCATCTGTGCACTACCTGCATAGACTTGACTCAGAATTCTCCCTCATACTTCTGCAAATGTAAACATGTGAAGATAAACGTATTACATCTGACGTTAGTTTCTTACTTTGATATGGCCAACAATGCGGTGGTCATGAAGGAAAATAAGTCGGGAAGACACAAAAAACAATGATATCACCAGTAATGACTATATCAGGTAACCCTTGTGATATGGAAATTTGAAGGCAAGACAGAAATCTCACCCTACAGTGAATATTTTTCCTTTTTCTGTGGAACAAACACTGGTAACAACGTCGTCGTGATTGCAAAGGCAGAAGGAAAGCTCCAGAAACTTGAGCTGCACAGTAATTATCCAATGTGCCGTAAACAAAGGAAACACAAGGAACATGATACAAAGCTCAACAGGAGCATTTGCAGCTTTGCATGGTCAGGAGTCAATGCAAGATAGTGCGAAGTCGAGCAATCCCAGTCGGCAGCTGCTTACATATGCAACAGCTTTCCTTTCAGAATCAGTTTGTAGGTAGGTAGTTGAGGATCGAAGGACTTGATACAGTTGAACGGCACCCCGTCCTCCCACCACCAGCTGTCTTCTCTTCGGATTCCATCCCAAACAGAACACTGGTCCTCCGAATTCTATAACCTGTCAGGCAAAACAGATGTAAATGAGCTCAATCAGTACGTTTGCCCTCACTTTTGAATCCACTTTTGACTCGTGCTAAACCTTTGTTGGTTGCACCAGAAAGTAAAACAACTCCAAACTCAAACGCAGCGTAGACATGTTTCAATCTACCGAGCCATATTATGTATGCAAACCTGAAGCAGTCGACCCCTATCTGACCACACCAGAATATTTCCATCAAGAGAGCTGGAAAAGAGCATCTTCACAGGGGCTGGCACGAAAAGAAGAGTCGTAATCCAGTTCGAATGCTGCTGTTGTTTCCGAAGTAGCTTGCCGGACTCGATATCCCAAACCTACACAAGAAAAGTATTAGAATAATCTCTCAAGTCCTTCATACCTATATCTGTCACGCCAGATATTTACGACGGATTAGATAAGATCAAATCTATCAATTCATCTTACGCTAAACACTCCAATCGCAGAACCGTCTCACCTTGATAAGACAATCTCTACCTCCACTGTAGATTTCACTCCTCGCACTATTGACTGCTACACACAATACCAACATCGAGTGCGCATCATTTATGCAGCAGCAAACTTTCATTGCCATCGCTGCGGCGATTGGTAGGTAGGTACGGACTCCTCGATAAATCCGCTGTGAATCACAGGTTTAGATCCAAAGCCTTCATTCTTGACATGTTACTGTCTCTCCAAATTCAGTAGTCCATAAGGCCTATAAAAATTTCTCGAACCACCCTTTCAATTTGTGCAAGAAACCACAGCAGTATCTTACGGCGACGATATATCTGTCCCATTTTGCCAGTCTCGAAGTGACTTCAGAGTTGGGCTCGATACTTGACGCAGGTAACCGAGTCTGACGTTCCACAAGAGTTAGCCTGTACACTTCTTGTCAGCTGAACGTTTTAAGATCGTTGTGGCTTTGATGTACTGGGCTTTGCCCTTCCACTTTTGTATTCCAATATTTCCAAGAAAGCACTGACCGCTTTGTTCTATGCATCATCCGCGTAACTCATCACAATCTCATTTGCAAATTACGCTTCTCACAATTCGTGTCCCTATAAAGCATGTAAGATGCTAAATTACTGGGATCCTTCATGTCTCATACCATCTACAATCTCAGATCCAAAAGACTGGCTACGATTCGGGATTTCAAGATTACAACAATACATCCTTGTCATGAAAACCTGTGCCACATATTTCTGATCCAGGCGAACACCTTTGAAGTCCAATTCTTTCCGAAAGACTGAATGCAAGGTCTTTCTCGCTCGCAGACCCGGATCGCTAGATGAAGGTTTCTACTACAGATTCTTGAGTAATTCAAATCCATTCACTCAGTGGGCAGCTCACACTCTGTATACCATTGCCGAGACTTAATCTTGTCAAAGGTACTGCCCGTTGTACCAATAAATCAGAGATAGTGCGACTGAAAACAAGGCACGCATCCGTTCACAATCAATAACCTGCCCCGCCATTCAATTTTTCCTTCCTGGTCTGTGCAATTAAGATTTTCATCAAAGACACTCGCAGGATAAAGAACACTTCATCGAAGCGGGCTCATTCAGAAGAACTTTCCAGCTTAGCTTCTCCCACTTCACGAGCACATATTACTCCGTCCAACTGTTGCGGGGGGGTGTCAGGAGCTCTATTTTCTTGAGCTAATAAACCTGCAGTGAGCTGCTTTCCACTGTGATCCAAAACAAGGACAAGATCTAATCTGCTTGCTTCGAGACAATCGCAATCCAAAATAGATGCAATTTGAAACAAGAAGAATCCCAATGAGTCCCTGTGCCACCGAAAAGAACTCAAATGAGTGTGTCTCTTACGATCTCTCCTTCTTTCCAGTATCTCTCCTGCCGCTGCTCTCCAACAGGACAAGAAGTCGCAGTGTCTACCATGCTCTCCGACCGGATGACCTGCAACTGGCAGTTCGACGCTGGCACTTCTTCTCACAAAAAGAAACGCGGCACGGCAGCTCATACAAAGGGCACATGAAGGTGTGACCTCTATAGAGCAGTTTGCCCGGGTTCAGAGTTATAGATGTTTGCCTCAGAGCAGCCAGGGTGACTTCTGGCAACGGGCTACCTACTAAGATCGCTTTCCTTATCCCGCCTTGGCATTTGAAAGAATAAGAAACGTCTGGCGCTCGTGTTACATAGACCTGCTATTCGCCAGCTTGATGCCCTCCTGTTGGAAGAAATGACAGCTAGTGAGAGGAGATGACACATACTGGAGAAACGAAAATAGCGACAGGGCAATTTCATCGCTTCTTGAAAAGTTGATTCCATGCACGATGGTGCGAATTCACTCTTCATGATAAATACTCATGCTCAGAAAGTATGGAGGCAGAGGAAAACCTCACATTCTGTATGACGAAGCGATCCACAAAATTAGAGGGAGGTATATCCCACTTCGCTGTGAAATAAACGTCGTTGCTTCCTACAATGTCATCCAACCCATCGAAATGTGACCAAAGCGGAATATTACACCTCAGCATAACATTCATGGGAAATTCAGGTTCAGTAGAATGTAACAATGCAACAGCTTTCCACTTAGCGGAGGTGGTAACAATGCAGCGCTAGTAGCAATTACCTGAACGATACGGCCCCTGGAGCAGCAAGCGATGAGTAACAAACCCCTGCCAGGATGATCTGAAAGTGAGAGCTCGGAACAATTCCATATTTCCAAGAGATTTTACTCGTCATCTTCATCCGATAAATGCATTCTTGTGCTTGCAACAGCTTCACCGCAAAACTTGTATTGAACTACTCACAATTAATATGAAGGCAATGTGAGTCAGATCAAGTAAAACTTTGTTAAGCTTAGAAAGAATCTGCTAAAAAAACATATTCGAGATAGCTACTTCAGCCTCAAGTTTGCAACGAGCATAGCAATCAAAATTACTCTTCTGCCAATTTCTTGGATTAATTAAGGGTCCGAATCTCCCACCTGCCATGCTGCAGGCATGTATTCTCGATGAAAATTTCCTTGTTTCCTATGGAAATTAACCGCGCTTCCTGTACCCGAGAAGTTTCCCTCAGCTTGATTCCTATGACTCCACCGAAGGACACACATAAAACCAATTCAAAACCAAAAACTGATATTGTAAGCACAACAAAACCATGATTCCAATGGCTGTCTCCAAAGCTGAACGAAATAAAATTGATCCGTTTCTTTATCTACCATAATATCAGGAAGCTTTAGTGACGAGCATAAGCAGTAGAGCACATAAGGTCAATCGTTTAAATGGAGGTGTTAAGTGGAAGTGTAAGAAGAGTCGTGCTTCAGGTAGTTTCGATTGCTTCTAAGAGAATTACAGTTTGGCGGCTGGATATCTGATAAAGTCTTACGTCTATAAAACATTAGCTAGATAATCGCTGCAAATCTTCGAAGGCATTGAGAAACCTTCTTACCTATCAATATTCTGATTACTACTTCCCATCTGAGCCGAGTATTCTTTTCCTGGCTCATGATGAATAATGGTCTTGGTAGCCATTATCAGCAAACTCGGATACGTTCGAACTAGTTGGCCGAGTTCACGAACAACTGCTTCCGAAACAGTGTGAAGACTAAGAGCTTTCCTGTTTATACACGAACAAATGGCCAGACATGATTCATCAATAAACAACTTGCAAATACAATTTCATGCTCACATTTGACTAACAACATCGGTAGAATAGACGGTTAAGATGCTTATCGCGTGAACCACAAAACCACAAAACCAGGATCTAGCCTTGCACAAAGCCATAGTAACTTAACAAGGTAATTGTATGTTACCTGCCAGCGTCGGTGGGTACTGAACGAACTGCCCGATCGAGCCAATAGAAGGCACCGATGCTGAGATCCACACCTTGTCAGATTCTAATTTACTTATATGTTGCACAAAAGAAGTATACAGAATTCAGGTAACCACCATGTCAAGTTCCCAGAAAGATTGTTATGAACCGTCTTCCAGTGAATTCAGTGTATTCCAGGAAACTGCCTGTAGAAAATGCACGAAATGCACGGAATGACGACAACAAAAATAGAAGTTCAGCGCTACCTGTCAATCAATAGGAGCTGTGCACTGCTGCCATGTTCCATCTCCAATTGCTTTAACAGTGGTCGTATTGTCTGCCAGGCAAAAAACTTTTTAAGATCTATGAAAGGAAAGTAATTTCAACCACTTTTCACCCTAACAAGAGCGTCATCCAGCCTTTGTACTACCAAGGACAACCGACTTAGAATTTCAATAATTCCCTGAAGGCTCATGCATCAAGCTCAGACTTTACAACTCAAAGCACGCAAAGATTATTTTCTTTCATACAACCATGAGATAACGGTACTCAGTCTTGCTTCATCTCCGTTCATAAGAAGCAAACACAGATGCAGAGAAAGCTGAATGCGGCAAACCTTCAATGCAACCAAGAACTCGAAGCTGTTGAAGCAACGTTTCAAATAAAAACGCTTCAATGATGTAGATAGTAGCTCATCTACAGAATCAACTCCCATGGCAAGACTCCAGGCAGGAGCTGCCTTTTCAGACAGGTCCTTATAAGCTGTAATATCAACATCGGAAGAAAAACTATTTTGCTGAAGGAATATTGAGTTTGAAATACTTCACTCAATGAGTGAGAATCAAATTGATTATATAATTTCTCTGGTGTCCAGTGAGCATTGCCTTATCATGAACTATCATGATTTCAGTGACTACATTCGACTTTGAAGGAAAACTACCTACAATTGATCACTAGTCTTACTGTCATGACATGTGGTGATGGTTTGACTCACTTTGTACCAGAGCATGTGCTTACCTTGAGCTTCTCGGACACGGTGATGCAGCAACTTCACTAGCCGCGGCATGTCAAAGTGACAATCAAGATCTATGAAGACTGCCGGCTTCTCGGATCCACCCAATTTAAGGCCTTGCCATTCTTTTGGTAATATACATGACACCACAGCCTACAATCACATAGGACCTCCAGTAAATTAAAATTTCAAACTCGGTCATCTCACATTGGACACTGGTAAATTTTATTGTAACTATACTCTCATTGCACACACATAGCACAGAGCACATACATTGGTGTGTGCTTTACCTCGTTCCTTCTATCTTCATTTTTAGTGATCCAGTAAGAGTACTACGAAACTGATCTTTCAATAATTCTATCATGAACTTAATATTGAACCAGATACTTGACCGTTTTACAGCACCACCAAGAAGTTAAACATGCTGAAATGCCTCCGGAAATGTGCTCTGTATCCTAGTGAACAGCTAAGGATTACAATTGTGTTGGGCACTAAGTTGGCTCTTGACCTGAAAATTAACAAATCGCATGCTGTGACTTCATACAACGTAAGTGATATTATGAAGATCTGATAAGACAAATACCTGTAACATAATTTCTGATTTTCCAGACCCAGACTGTCCTGCCATCTCCAAGACATGCCCTCCGTGCAGATTGACACGATGCAGAGGTGGCAAGGGTGCAAGAGAAGGTTTTTGTCGCTCCAACACTCGCTTCAGCATTGTCTTCGCAGACTCATTGATCGTCAGCCACTGCAACATTTCCTCCTCTGGGACGGCCATGATACTACAGTAGGCCGCAAGCGCAATTCATTCTTCACTGCTTCTTCATTCTTATTGCAATTCAGGTCAGCGGCAGTGTCCGCAACGCCAATCACCAGATAGACACAAGCCTGACGTATGAAGAATATTAAAATTTCTGAACATGTGAAGGAAACGATTCCAGACTGTTCTTCATAATTCAACAATTCCGTGTGGTATCAGTAGCAGTAAATGTGGATTTTGCTTGAACTCTCTTTACCAATCCCGTCTGCGAAAGGGCATCAAATTCGACACGGTATGCTGTCCCGCGGCTTGAAGGTGCTGATTGAATTCGAGCACATCTTCCCATAATACATGACAGAGAGCCTGCCGTCGAAGGGAAGAACTCTAATTCTTGCCCAAATTCTTCCATGTCCAACAACAGCTGGGTGCTTTGCAGTAAGAAATGAAACTTTTGTTGATTACAATACAAAATGACAAAATTAGAATAAAGAGTAAAATATGAGCAACCTACCTATTTGAGGACCATTTTCCACTTGAATTTCACTATTTGTGGAGTCTCTCCTCGTTCCAAGCATCTCTTTTCAATTTTGCAATGACCATCTACTGGTCATCTGCCATCAGGCTTCAGGACTCATTGTTGCAATTATCATTGTCAGCCTTAACACGAATCATTGTAAATATTTAAATGCTAAGTTAAGTCCATTCCCATGTTAGAACATTATTAGAAATTCACGCTATAGAGTACGCTATTGATCAACTCCAAACCAACTCCAAGGAACTGGACGAAGGCAAAATCTTCAGAACATCACCTCAATATCGTACATTCACCATGTCAGGCTTTAACACGAAAGGTGTCAAGCACGTGATTTTAAAGATTCATTGTAAATATTTTAATGCAAACCAAGTATGAAAACTACGGGATGGGAACAATCCTTACCGAGAAATGAGATGTCGACGAAAAAGAGGTGGAGAAGCTAATCGGAACAGTTTTGTACTTGAATTGAATCACAGTCGGTCCAAATTTATGCACAATGCCGCCACATAGAAAGTCCTGTATCCCTACTTCAAGCAAATTGTATCGAATCTTCTTCATGACACTTTGACCAGTTGAGAAGATTCTTCCTTTTGCAACGAAAAGAATCAAGTCAACATATAAATACGATTTCTTGAAACTGGTAAGTCAGCAAAGTGGGTCGAGTCCTTACTCGGAACTTTTATAACTAACTTGAACAGGTTATTTCAATCACCGGTTGGTCCCATTTTATTGACCTAGACATGGGAATTTTCGTTCTGCGGTAGGGTTTAATGGGGAGACAAGTTAGCTTGAGAATGTCAAGATATAGTGCCCACACAGACTCCACACTTACCCTCCCAATCTGCCCCTCTTAGAAAACATTGTTATCGAGGCCATCACAGCATCGACAACAATCTTCATCAGAAATATACAATACACGCGAACGCCTAACATTAGAGGTAAAAAACTCACATGATAATAACCTGCCCGATGGCTCCTCGCATGCACTGGTCTTACCAGTGAGTTCCTGATATTACAATGTTCCATACCTTGAATCCTTAAATCATCCAACCCGCCCACAATCAAATCAACATCTTTGAATTTACACGCTGTAATACAATTCGCATGTAAACCATCACATCAAAAACAAGTAAACGATATTTTAATACTTCACCCAAATGCAGTCATAAAAGTAGGGCGAACCTCAATCAGTGACATTTCTCGTATGAAGAGTATTCTTGTATGTAGCATTTTCTTATGTCAAATATTGATCTCTCCTCTTGTGTTCGGTGACAAGCTCCGGTCCTAATCCCCTCAGCCGTATGCACTCCAGTAGCTTCGTCCGAAACACGTATCTCATTCCCGTGTCGACTAAGTTCTTTGTCATGTGACCCAAATTATCGACACTTTTATGACGTGTTACCCTCGGCATTTGTCTCGCCCTACCACCTCCTTTCATCGTTCTAAAAGAGCTTTTCGATATTAAAGTTTGCCTTTGGTGCTACCAAGAGTAAGTTGGTCGTCGTATAGTTTGCGCGGTCGTGATTTGTTGTAGGACTAGGTTGAGTATGTTGGTACATGACTTCGGCCAAATGCCAAGATAGAGCGAAGAAGCAAATCTTCCATGAAGGAATCTAGTGTTCATCACTGGAGCACGACAGTTCCAGGTTGCATCCTGCCACCTGAGCTTGTTCGCCACATGTGCTTGGGGAATGTGGAGAGCAATTTATCGAAGACATCTCGTAGGCATTCAGTATTCTTTGGCCATCACTGCCTTAACATCGGGAATGTGCATTAGACCCACAAAGCGATTGCTCTGAAGCTGATAGAAATAAATCCCTCAGAAGCATATGCTGGCTCATGTCAAGTAGTGATCCTATCTTAGTCCCAACATATTTAGATTTTAATTGTATATTTCCTATAGCAGGACCCGGATCATGACAATAATCAATATAGTGAAAACCTTTTATATGTCCGCACATCATTGTCCTCGCGTTTATGCCAAATCTTATTCTTCATGATTTTTTGATGTGTTCATGTTATGAATAGTAATCCAAAAAGTACAATAACCTATGTCACAAGTGTACAGAAAATAAATTAAAACCACATCATAATAAATATTTTCATATAATAATCGCATGATTATCTGATTAATGTTGAGGTTAATTTCAAGTTAAGGAGTAATCTTGGTACTAGCTAAATTTAGCTAGAAACATTGTCCGGACAGGGTATTGTGGTACTTTTCACTACTGGCTGTTTACTCTCTTTTGTGTTCTTGTAATGAATGTAGCACTGCACATGGGTGAACCACGTAATATTTTTTTCTGTCTTTTCTATATCTGGTTTACTCTCATTTGCTCTTGCTATTTTACTGATTCATATTAACAATTAATATTAGTGTATGTCTATTTTTATTTTCAAAATTGTATATTTAAGAAATACTTACTTGTTTGCATGAGATGTGATTGAAATTAAAGATAGAATAAAATTTTAAGGCCCCGGGCCACACTCGTTTTTGCTACGACCACACCCGCCCGCTAATTACCATACCCATGCTACTACCCAAGCACACTGCTTAAGCTCTAGTAACGCGGGAGACAGCGAAGGCCGCAGCGGCCCGCGTCCCTCGAAGACTCTCTCGACTACGCTCTCCTCTGACTCGCGGACGAGCTCGGGTTAGCAACTGGGTTTGAGGGGAGGCGTGCTTTGACACGCAATCAGTTGTTTGTATGTAACGGTTGTAGCCGTAGCAAAAACGGGTGTAACCCTAGTCTGGGTCAAATTTTAATACAACAATTTATCTTCATTGATGATATTTATGATACATTTTTTTTGATAGTACAATTTATTTAGGTTATTTCTCAGTTTGGACTAATGATCACTCACCCTAGGCTAATGCTCCCGTACTACTTCTCCACTTTTCCCTGTGTACACAAAGACTATATAATAGAGCTCTAAGTAAACATAAGGATAGTTTTGAGCAATCATAAGGCTCTCATGTCTATAGTATAGTAGGATGATGGATAAATAGCCCAAACTAAGGGATAATTAACACTTCATTTTATTTATATATACGTTCATTTGTATATGATCCATCATGTAACCTCTTAGCAATTGGGTTTATATCACATAGTAAATAAATTATAATTTACACTTTCAAGATTCTCTGACAATTCTGATGTTATACTGTTTCCATTTTACACTTAATGATTCACATGTTAACTTAGTGAATATTAACTTAACCTGCAAACCTCATTTTATGAGATTCGCGGGACGGTCGAAATTCAGCTGTATGGACGCATTCAAAGTGATCATCTAGTGAACGCTTCTTGGCTAGATTTAGGGGAAAATAGATTGGAAGCGAGCGGGTTGTCAACTCACCGAAGAATCACTTCCTCTGCAGCTGAAAAGTCCTCGTCAGTCCCGACCACGGTCGCAGTTTAGGATAGGCAGAACTCAACTGTCCCTCAAGGTCTGCGAGACGTGGATGCGGCGCCCACCCTTTACAAAAGTACGTCGGTTGCGTCCGGAATTCCACCGGGCCGGTCGCGACAGGCAGCCGAGCTTGGCAAACTGCCGAAACGCCATGGTCGTGACCGTCAAGACGCTAGCCGGTAAGCGACGTGGAAGGGGAAGAATCCACGTGGCCATGATGAAGCAACGTGTCGCCCAGATAAGGACGCCACCCACGATCGGTGAGTCAGCATGGAGGACCAGGCATGGCCCGCGCTCGGCGAGACAGTTGCCTACACAATTCGCTCATTCGCTCGACGATTCGACGAGCGAACGAACCAACGAACGAACGACCGACCGACCGACCGAAAGAAGGAAGGCTGGATGAGATAGACCGCGTCGGGGCCAGTGCGCTTTATTGGTCTGATCTGACCTGACCGACCGACTGACGGGACGACGAATTCGATAGCCCGCTCATGCGAGCTTTATATACCTCGATTGGCCACGAGTGCGCTTTTTCCTTTCCCTGTGCTCTGCCTGCTCGATCGTGCTCGAGGAGAATCGTCGATAGAGCTAGCTAGCTCGCACGACAGCCCTCTGGTTGTAGCTGAGCTGAGCTGAGCTGAGCCCGGCCGAGCCCGGCGCAGCGCTGGACATCGCGGGTAGGAGGGGGTGGGCTTCGAGAGGCATAGATAGAGTGACTGACACATGAGGTTCGAGGCAGATACCGACTTCATAAAAATAGGTGGAAAGAGGTACATGGAGGCGCTGCATCAGATGCAAGCGCATGTGCGGGGGGAGAAGCGGGCGCAATGGGAGAGCGTGGACGAGGCGCAGTGGAAATGCGGCAGCGGCGAGAGCAAGCAGCTGCAGCCGCAGGCGCTCTACGGCTACGCGCTGCTGAGCAACAGCCGCGGCCACGAGATGGAGGACTTTCATGTGGCGGAATTCCGCACCATGGACGACGCTTACGAGGTGGGACTGTTCGGGATTTTTGACTCGCACCGAGGCCCGCAGGTCGGCCGCGAGGTGCAGCGACGCCTCTTCGACAACATCCTGCAGGAGGGAGGCGTTTGGGCCGACCCGGCCGGAGCCACTCGAGATGGGTACCTGCTCACCGATCGCCAGGTTCTCGAGTGCCTCGACAAGGAGGCCGAATTCGGCGGCAGCACTGCTGTCACCGCCATGCTCTTCGAGCACGGCAGCCGCCTCGTGGTCGCCAACGTCGGCGACTCCCGAGCTGTCCTCTGCCGAAACGGCGAGGCTGTCCAGCTCTCGGTGGATCACGACCCCGGCCGCCCCGTGGAGAGAGCCCAAGTGGAGATGCGCGGCGGCATGGTCGTCACCCTCCCAGGTTCGTTCCTTTGTGCCCATCTGCTCCTTAGAGTAGCGCTGCGTCGTCGTCGTCGTCCCTCGTCCCGTCGATCTGATGCGCCTGTTCGCCGCTCAGTCTCTCCGTTCGAGTGAGAAGGTCCGATGCAGATCCGATCGTGCTCGTCGCGCAGCCGTCGCAGAAGACTGAGCCCTGAGAGAAGAGGAGAGGAGCCCTCGATGGCGACGGGCGAGAGATGGTAGTCCGCTGCCCTTGCAACCAGAGCATTCTAGTTCTTAAAATTCGTGGAGAACTAGCTGCCCTTAACAATGCACTTCGTAGAGAGCGCTCCAGAGCGACCATCTCGAGCAAACAAGGTGGGTGCTGGTTACCAGCCGGTCCGAGTCAGAGGCACATGGGAGGCCGCTCTCGAGCTTCCTGCCCACGAATTTGATTTCAGTTTGTGATAGCTCCCTCGATTCCATCCGTCGGGTTTCCGACTGAATCTGCGCAAGAGGTCGCACTTTGGTGCACTGAGGAAGTTATCCAGTTACAGTTTACAATTCAGATCAGCTAATGATTGGAAAGATGTTTTGTCAACTTCTGCGGGAGGACTAGTCCTCATCCGTGGACGCTTGTGATTACTGCAGGAGATGTGCCCAGAGTGGACGGCCAGCTGGCCCTGGCCAGGGCTTTTGGAGACAAGTCACTGAAGAACCATATGAGTGCAAAACCCGATATGGAGGATATTCTGGTGGATTTGTCGTGCGAGTTTCTGATCCTAGGAAGCAACGGGCTCTGGAAGGTCATTGCGAACGAAGAAGCCGTGGAGCTCGTAAAGAACACAGTGGATCCTGCCGAGGCCGCTCAGGCATTGGTTCGCAAGGCCAGGGAACGGCTCACGGACGACGATATCTCTTGTATAGTCATACTCTTCAGGGAGTTGTAGGTGTCATATTACAGTAGTTTTTTTAGTGGCGGTAGTAAGACAGCGCAGACTGCTGGCTGTTTTGTACATTCTCTCTCTCTCTTTCTCTCTCTCTCTCTCTGTGCTTCTGGTACTTCAAGTTTGGTCTTCGGTCCTCTACCTGGACGCCCGCGCTTAGTGGAGTATAGTATTCTCGCGTGAACTATGTTGATTCCAACTTGTAGTATAATATTCTGGAAAAATACGAAGGCGGATGCAGCTTCTCGAGTGTATCCATTCACGTGATATCATTTCAAGTTAAGCTCACTCCACCTGAACTTTTCAACTTTTCGATTCAATCATTCAAGAATCTAGACCGTCCGGATAGAGCATCTGGCACCGCATGCCGACCTGTACATGGTTGTGACATCTGAGTGTTGAGCTTTAGTTGGGGTTGATAGTGCACCTGGGACAAAATTTATAGAATTGGAATCTGTATAAATACAGGAAATTTTTTCTTTACACCTCCATGCAAGCGATCTTGCATTGTAGGGCCATGGTGGATGAAAATTTGGAAACTTTACGTGGCAGAAGTTGACTCGGCGAGTATGTGAGTTAATTTAGAAACAGTCAACGTTACGATGTTAAGTTTATCTGCAAACTCCTAAAAAGATTGGAAGACTGGGCGTTCTTAAGTATAGAGTCTCTACATAATCCGGATTTACTCTGCATTCACGGTAATCACTCCAAAAACATTAAAAATTGTAAATTTCTCATTTTTAAAAACCTGAAATATCTTTTAAAATTTTAAATTCCTCACTTTTTTGGTAATTATCAAAAATATCTCCCAATGATCTGGATTAAGTATAAAACCATTCCATTCTGATTGAATATATTACATATTATATTACATTTCATCTTACACGGTAAACGTTATAAGATACGCTGATAAATCTTTAATTTTATAAGTATCACATTCCATCTTACACGGAAAAATATATAGGATACGCTGATATATATTAAATATTAAATCTTATAAATATTACATTCCGTCTTACACGGAAAAATATATAGGATACGTTGATAATTCTTAAATCTTATAAGTTCTACGTTCCGCTAGATACGGAAAAGTAGATAGGATACGCTATTAAATATTAAATCTTTGGATGCAACGTTGTATTTAAGATGCGCCTTTGCAAAATACAGTGTTTTAAAAGTTACATATGAGTTGCCCTTAAATTTTACGTGGCATGAAAATTTGTAAAATTTTACGGGGCAGATGTTGACTCGGCGAGTATGTGAGTTAATTGCTAAATACTCTCAATGTTCTCAAGTTTATCTGCAAACTACTATAAACTATAATCGCTAAAAAGATAGGAAAGAGTCTCTACATAATCTGGATTTACTCCCAATTGAAGGACATCACTCCAAAAACATTAGAACAAAGACTTATGGGAAAGTTGTATAACGTAAATTCCTCACTTTTCTATATCTCTCAACTATCTGGCTTTGAAAGTAAGTAAAAAACTATTACATTCCGTAATATACAAAAGGGATACGCTGTGTAAATATTAAATCTTTGGATGCAAGTTGCATTTAAGATGCGACTTTGCAGGGTTTAGGGTTGCAGTTCTGAAAGTTACATGTGAGTTGGACTTATACAAGTTGGCATTTACCAACTCGTATAAGGCTGAGTGTGGTGGATGTTACACGCAGGAAGTCGGCGTCCAAGACAAGTCGGCGCAGACTGCCTGTTTTTACATTTTGTTCTTGTAGCGCATCACATCTGATACACGTCGTGTGTCTCTTGAAGACTTTCGTAGACAAACAAAGAGGAAATGTGAGTTCTGTCCGTGAAGAAGTCAGGTCTGATTATTATTATCAAGGATTACTATCTTCGCTGGTGTTTCTCACTATCTCAATTATGCTGCGCTAAATCTCCTCCCTAACTCTTTTCTCAGCAGCAGAAAAGAAAAGAGCATCCAGTTTTCTAATCTATGCATATCTTATCTTCACTCTTCCTTCCTCGAAGTGGTACTTGTTTGGCATGAACCGGAATGGAAAGACGACTTGGTTCTCAAACTTCAGGAAGAGAATTAATTCGTTGTTGATTACATTAGTCTAGCTACTTCATGGGGTTGGCCGTGTTGCACCTTCGAATTTGACGCGAAGGTTTAAAAGCTTTGGATCACTAATAGGTTTAAGTAGGACAAATGAGAGTTTGCGGAGTCCAGGTAGCTGGTCACTGAATATCACAAAAATCTTATCATTTTATACGCGTTTTTCTCATGATATGCTTCGGAAATGTAATATCAATTATATTATATCATGCTTGACTTCTGAACCTACGTCACTACACTCTTAGACTCGAGCTCATATACGTCGTCTTTACATTGTTTGGTGGAAAGAGTTTAATGTTTTTATTCGAGAAGATGGAAAGTATACTATTATACCGAAACAATATACTATTATACTGAAACAATATACTATTATCTGAAACATGGACAAAGATGTAGAAGAAGCTGGTGGTCCACAGTGATGCATCTTGGATCTAGATGCGGCACCGAGGACTCTTTGTGGCATTATGCACACTGGCCCATTGACACTATGTCCCTGCAATAAGTCATAATGAAATATAACAGTAGCAACTAGCTTTATCCTGTCCAGTTGCATGGCATTGATCGGATTCGCATCACACTTTCATTTTCAATTGAAAAAGATTTTAAAGATCGCAAGTATTTGAGGTTGAAAACTTGAAATTCACCTACCTCTGATGAAGAAGTCCATGTGTGCACAGAAAGATGATAATTAAGATTACTTTCACATATTTCAAACTGCATCTGCAATCATAGAGGCAAATATCTTCAATATTCAAACTTGGTAAAACTCCAGTATTACATCTTACGACATAATAGGCTGTTTCAAACACAAGAACCTGGGAATGTGGTCATGGGATACCATTTGGACCCTACTTGAGTCGCGTGTACCGTACCAAAATTAGACTGACTTGTGTACTTCACACTCCCTCAGATATTTCAGTCATCTTGAACACACCAATTAGAAATTATCGTTTATTCTGTAGAACATGAACGGATAGAGCTGGACAGACAAATCATAAGCTTGTCATGAGGCAGCACCTGTGACCCACTGATTTCACAGGATACTTTGGACGTCGATTTGGTCACATGCATGCACATGGTATCTCGGTTCAGAACGTAATGTAGGAGGATGACTCGATGACATACATTATTTTCGACAGAGGTAGCGAAGTGCCCGACAGGTCGGTCTCTTGGACAAGGGAACTTGCTGTTTTTCATGAACTTAAACATCTTGTGAGACTATATAACAGCCGCCATGAGCATCTGAAACGAGATGAAACAGGATGCCTCGTAAGAATCAGCATTTATTCTCCTTCGCCGAGGAAAAAAACATCCATGTATTTTAACTTACCACCTGTCACCTGGACTGTGCATCACAGTCCAGTCATAATAAAGTTTTTCTCAAAAGTGCAGTTTTCTGTAGATTGCAGATTCATGGCGCGCCTGATGTCAAGCATGAGAAGTCTAAGAGTGTTACTCTTACGGCAGGCCGTAGAATGCTAGAGAAATCGTTGCATCACTTCCGTATCTTTCCTATTGAATCCTAGTCAAAGTCTGGAATCTTTCTGTGCTCGTCTTGATTAAATAACTCAGCGAAAAGGCTCAGCCAAAAAAGGAAATTTGTTCCAAGAAGAGAAGAGTGACGATTGGAAGTTGGAAACTGAAGAAGGATCTGATACCTCCTTCAGATGCTGCGCATGTTACAGTAATGCTTCCTACGTCACGATAACCTTTCCGGCCATGAATAATATCACTTTTTCAGCCTGGATCAAGAGCAGTTATCCTCTTTTCATGTGTCTCTTCATCGAGGTATATTGTCCATGTCTACAACGTAATCTGGATGATGATTCCTTGTTCTTTCATCGACAAGGTTTTCCTGCAGGATGATCTTCCAATCTGAGCTCGAGGGACGCATCATGTGTTGGCTTACAAATCACTTGAGAAACGACGGTGACGTCACCGAGAATTGAAAACCTCCTCTGCTACCGCTAGTGAAGACAAATGGCAAACGCCCAGATATGATGCAGATATTTCGAAGGAGCGCTTTTAGAATCAAATTTTATTACACAATTTTGAATGCAAATTCTCAAAGCCGAGAACTCGAGATAACACATACTTGGTAGAAGTAATAACATTGTACAAATGTACACATCAGGTCACTATAAAGTTGAGCCTCTAAGTTTTTCGATCCCCGGTCTTAAGCGGTCATAAAACGTGGTGGCTGGTTGGCGGCTTTTCCAAAATCTCGACGAATTGCGACGGTCACTGGCCTCCGTCGAGACCTCATCTCGACGTACCGTCATGTGCAGTGCTTTATCTGCTGATCCGGCTACCCTCTCGTGCTCTACTGCTAGTTAACATTGAATCACCGTCTCTACTTTGATAATGTCAAAGTTTCACGTGCCTTGCCCATCACTGTCAGCACAGTGGCTGCTATGTGATACCCTGTAAGTCCAGCTTCTTCCATTTGGTCCTTGGGTGATCCATGGTCGATGTACCTGTCCGGCAGCACCATGGGTCTCCACTGCAATTTGAAAAAAGTAAATGCTTAGACCGTGTTCATGTGTGTACAGCAAATTGCGAGTTCAAGGAGATTTTTGCAGGTAGCCAAAATGTCTGGTTTCTTTCCTAATTTTGAAGCAGGCTGAATTTGATATGAGCATCGATACCCAGAATTATCTGGAGCGATATATGCCTGAGATGCAAGGTCAGAGACAGAATGCAGAGCTCTGTTACAAGAGCTGATGCTGAGCATCACGCATTCACAATATGGTGAAGATTGATGATACGCTAGCCTGGGAAAGAGAAAAGCATACCTTGAGCCCGGAGTCAAGCAGGCCTTCAAGAGCCAGGAAGTTGGCAACATGGGCGCTGAACCCTCCGATGGCACCCTCTTCGACAGTGATGAGAATCTCGTGCTCCTTGACCAGTCTTCTGATAAGTTCTGCGTCCAGAGGCTTACAGAATCGGGCGTCGGCCACAGTTGCGGAGATGCCCCGCTCCGAGAGCAATTTCTGGGCTTCGAGGCAATTTTGGACGATGGTCCCAAACCCGAGGATGGCGACGTCTTTGCCTTCTCGCAGAATCCTACCTTTGCCGATCTCCAACACCGTTCCCTTGTTCCTGGCTGGCAACGGGACGCCAACTCCGTTTCCACGAGGAAACCGGAAGCAGCTCGGACGGTCATCGATGGCGATGGATGTGGCTACCATGTGCATGAGCTCAGCCTCGTCACTGGGTGCCATGACCACCATGTTCGGAAGGCAAGCCATGTAGGTCACGTCAAAAGCTCCGCAATGTGTGGGCCCGTCTGCTCCCACAAGTCCGGCCCTATCCATGGCAAATCTCACAGGCAGCTTCTGTAGATCCACATCATGCACAACCTGCAGCACAACACAATTTTGGATCACGATTCCGGTCCAGAACCTCCCGGTGATTCTTCCAAACTCTGTGAAATAAAAGTAATCAGCATCTTAAGATTTAGATTAAATTATTATCATCATTAAAAATCATTTAAGACTCTTAGTAAAACCCCGTGCTGTCATACCTGATCGTACCCCCTCTGTAAGAATGTGGAGTAAATGGCGCAGACGGGCTTCAGTCCCTCGGTGGCTAACCCTGCAGCGAACGTCACGGCATGCTGCTCGGCGATCCCCACATCGAAAGTTCGCTCCGGGAAGCGCTTCTGGAAGAAATTGAGTCCAGTGCCACCTCCCATGGCCGCATGAATTGCAACGATCTTAGAGTCTTCCTCTGCCTCAGCAATCAGAGACTCTGCAAAGTACTGCGTGTAGGACAAGGTCGATGCCGGCACTTTGTGTTGCTTGCCCGTCGGCGGGTCGAACTTAACAACACCTGCAGTCAAAGTGAAGACGGAAATCATCACGAATCCATCGTCACTTGCTTTAACCCTCGTACAAATGTTACGACAAATGTACTGCATGCTACAGGCAGGCTGATTTTTCACGTCAGTGTCCAAAATAACTTCCACACGGGATTTGTGCTTGTGCCGGTGCTAATCAAAATAAACTTAAGGTCATAATTTTGCCCAAGGTTATGCAAATCGAGAGCACATTGCATGCAGGGGCGGAGCCACAGGGGGGGGGCAGGGGGGGGGGGGGGCATGCCCCCCCCAAGCCCAGGAAGGGTCTACACAGATTGTGAGTTACAGAATGTGAAAACGAGGTCGAGAAAAAATTTTAATTGGAAATTGGCGGGTAGCCCCCCACTCGCCCCCCCTTGCCCTCCCCCCCCCCCCCCCCCCTGAAAAATCCTGGCTCCGCCCCTGATTGCATGTGGCATGTTTGCATGCACTGCGCTTCATGCAGATGCTAAAATCAAGGTAAGTAGCAGAAGAGGCAGACTGTCAAAAAAATCAATGGAAGTTATGTATCACCGTGGTATTTATCAGCAGCGCGTTCTGCATACGGATAGCCCCGGCCCTTTTCCGTTACTACGTGAATCAGAACAGGGCCAGCAGCGGGGGCTGCTTTGACATTTTTCAGAATGGTGACCAGGTCCGAGATGTTGTGTCCATCGACTGGACCGATGTAATACATCCCGAGTTCTTCAAAGAGAGTGGATCCGTTTGCCCCGGTCATGCCTCTTGCAAACTCGTCAACTTTGGCTGCAATTTCGTAGGCTTGGCCTCCAATCTGCTTGGTGACTCCCTGCTCAAAAAGCAGCAGGATTTTGTCAATGAAGATCGAACAAAAAACTCTAAACTTCAAAACCTTGGGAATGTTAGAGATGGGTCAACTCGAGAAATAGGCACACTTACTTTGGCCACTTCCCTCAACTGGCGGAACTTTTTGCTGGACTGCATCTTGGAGAGAGCGGAGCTCAAGGCGCCAACGGGAGGTGCGGGGCCATCAAGAGTAGCCGTGGGCAGCGATACTTGCTTGTTGTCATTAAGGATGACGATGAGGTTGGAGTCCAGGTAGCCCGCATTGTTCATAGCCTCGTAGGCTTGGCCGGCTGTCATCGCACCATCTCCAATTACAGCAACGACACTGTTGTTTCTTCCCAGGAAATCTCTTCCGACGGCCATCCCTGCATACCACGAGCCGCGGTCGTTTAGCCAGATCTGAAACACTAGAAATCAAACTACATAATTCATTTCAAGCTCGGACGTGAAAGGCTGCAGAACGGATCCTTCACACATGGATTTGAAACCTTGGGACCAATTTTTACTCCTCTGCTCAACTGCTCTCTGTTTCTTCGTTCACAGTGATGAATCTGACATGTTTTCGCACAAGAAGCGTTGCACATTGCTACTCCCGATGGCATTGAGTAATTACTGATGATGGACGTACCGAGGCCAGCAGAGATGGTTGTGGAGCTGTGACCTGCACCGAAGGGATCGTACTCACTCTCGCTTCTTTTAGTGAAACCAGCAAGTCCAGAAGTTTGTCTTAGAGTGTTCATTCTCGCTCGACGTCCGGTTAGAATCTTGTGAGGGTAAGTCTGTGCGACACAATCCATGCAATTAATCTATGAGTCAAAAAACTTCATATATGATACAGAGATCACATCATGGAGTATTAAATTATTGACGATTACAATTAAGGGCGTAAATAAGATACAGAGGTCAACTTCGTGAAAAGTCAAAATATTGACGAGTACCGTCGAGGGCGTAAATAAGATCCAGAGGTCAAGTTCATGAAATGTTAAAGTATTGACGATTACAGTCAAGGGCGTAAATGATCTGACTTGCCTGATGACCAACATCCCAAAGAATTCTGTCCTCAGGAGCATTGAAGACGTGGTGCATAGCCACCGTCAGCTCGACGACACCGAGTCCGGAACCCAAATGGCCTCCGGTGTTTGCAACAGAAAAGATCATCTCTGCGCGCAGCTCATCCGCCAGCTGATTCAGCTCCGGCAGAGTCAAGTTCGTCATATGAATCGGGTAGTTTACAGTGTCGAGAATCGGGGTCGCTGGTTTTTCTGCCAAGTACTCTGCTTTCGCAGCGGCAGGTTGAACGGCGATCTTGTCATTTGATGAATTCGTGCTGCTGGCTGTTGTCTCTCCGATCTGCACATGTTCATCATAAGATCCTGTCAGAAGATCGCACATGAACGTGATTTAACTCCACAATCGAGTGACAGTCGTAATTATACTTACAGACACTCACTTACAGACATGAAGTGCCATAATCGTACTCGTCATCGACCACAGAACAAGAAAACAAGCCTTTCAGACAAATCCAGCGGACCTCAGAGTCTTGCATTAGAAGAGGAAAAGTTGCTCTGATGTTTTACAGTGAGCACAGCTGCGCACATAAATGTGCGCAGTACGTGAAAAAGTGGGATGTAGGACCAACACGGACTGTAATGAGCTCGGACCCTTAACAAGCAAACACAGCTGGTAAAATATATAGACAAACACTGCTATGGTTGTCCACGAGAGCGCTAGTGCTATGGACAGAATTTTATAATTCTTTCACCTTATGAGGAGGATGGCATGCAATACTCTTGGCAGATACGCGGCTGCCACCCGCAAGGTCAAGGACTTTGTGTACAAGACCATTGTAACTCTGAGCTCCTCCGCCTGATCGACCGAGAGTCACAGACTCCAGCTGAGAGCTGGAAAGACGTGAGACAGGCCTTGCATGCGCGGACGGGCACGGACCCGCACTTTTCACACACGCTCCAGCTGCTGTAGCGATGCTGGCCGCCATCTCTGTGGATCAGAAAATTCTCAAACTCTGATTCCTGTGACGTTCTGCACCTGTATAGACAGGCTCTGCTCACTTCTCCCTTACATTCACGAGCAATCTCGTCCGTGCCGGTCTGTCCCCCCGGAGCATAGGTCCCAGAGTAGAGCAGTGGAAAACCAGTGGAAGCACACGCTCTTGTACTCACCTCGGGCGAGACTGTCCGTGATATTTGAGTGGAATGGGGATGAGGCAGCTGAATACCAACCAAGGCAACCAAGGCAAGTCAACATTCAAGCGAGCAATCAATGAATCAATCACCGGGGACGAGGATTGTCAGCCTGCGATGGACTCAGAACGGGGTTGAACGGTCAGCTGAATGGTTGGCTGCGGGTGGAAGCGGTGGAGGGGCTGCTACATGCTCCGCTATATTACAAGGGCGAGACTTCGAGCCGGTCTCTGCAATGTCCTCTGTGTTCTGCCCTCGGCCGGAATCCGCCCTGTGGGGCCCGCCCTCCGGTCGACCTATCCCGGACTCCGTAACGGAGTCGTGTTCTGCCGTCCAACAGCCTCCTGTATTTCCGTAACTTTGCCACATGCCATAGATCGCCGCACATGCCTCCGACGCTTCAGCTCCCGGACGTTATTGCGGAGTTTCCAGGACTCACGTGAAGGCCTCGCGACCTCTCTCACCAAATTGCCATGACATTCATGGTGCCCAATCTGCCGTTGGGATCTCGAATTTACTTTATCCAGATGGTGCTCACATCAGTTCGGGTTCGATCCTACTCATTTTGATGGCTCTTTGGGTACGTGGTAGATTCATGTTTACGATTAGACGAAAAGAAGACATATTTCTTAATTTCATCGCAAGACGAAAGATGATATTTCATTATTGTCATACAAAACATGTTCGAAAGTAGAAATAAAAATAGAGATTATTTCTCAGCTAATGATTGCATGATGTATAGCTCAAATCTTTGTATTGATATTCACAACTAGAAAAGGATCCAATTATGTGATCATCATTAGATATGATTATGATTCTATCTTGATATTATGGAAAATATTGTAGAGATAATAATATTTAATTTTTTCATCGCAATTATTTTGGAACTTTTTTTTATCATTATTGTCATATATAGCAGAAATATAAATCAATTTACTTAAAAATTAAATTCACAGTTTGTGGTTCAAATTTTGTATCGATTTCCACAACGAGAAAAGATTCAATCATATCGTCATCATGTAATATGCTTTGAAGCAATTCTATACTGATGTTATGAAATATATTGTAGAGATGATTATATTCCGAATTAGTTGAGTGTCTTCAAGTACTTTCACATCTTACTTATAAAATTCTGTGGATTTATTATTTCCCAACTAAAGGGGAAAAGACACACCGTTGTGAGACTCATAAGTAAACTGTCATGAATCGTACATAAGAAACGTAACTAGTTTGACAGTTGCTTCCTCACGCAATTAGCCGGCACACAACGATTGGCGCAATACCACACTAGCGATGCACAGATTCCAACAAGACATATGGATGAATTGGACTAAATCTGCTCATTGACATGTCGTAGAAAATTCAAGCTAGAATTGATTTGGTGTTTCCAAATGATTGAAGTAAATGGATCACACTTTGTTGGAGAGTAATAATATGAAGGCGAATGATGAGGTTTTCAGAGAGGCTCAGTCTGAAAGGGAGGGAGGGAGGGTGGGATGGAGCTTGGGTCTGAAGTATGGAGGGCACATGGAAGCGTTGAAGGTTGTTCATTATGGGGGGTAAAGGTTAACTTTCTCCAGGGCTCTTTTGACACATCCACCAACTTGTATCTTCCTTTGCCCGTCAGTCTTTTCTTCTGTGCCTTACGCAGTCCACAAGGTGCACGTTCTGTCGGGCCTATGTTGTGACCATGTAGGCTCCATATCTTCTCAGTTCCCTAAAAATATGCATCGGGCGGAAACCTCCCTTTTGAGAGATTTCGTAAACTGGCACACACGAAACTTTTGCATGTCCTCCAGACGTTGCATGATGATTTGTAAGGACCACACATTTCAATGTGTACCCTTTGAAGGGCATGTGGAGAACTTGGCATGTGAAACATCAATGGAGCCACATCCACTAACATTAGCCCGCATCCACTGTTGTGCATCGATCGATGCCTGCTCTGCTGCTATCATGCTTGAAAACTCTGCAAAAATCTGGACGTCCATTCCTCCTACGAGGGTATTGGATGCGCTCTGGGTGTTGTACTCAGACGAGGGTTCATGATTTGATGGGGAGAGGTTTCTCGTGAATCTCTCAATCTATCCGGAAGTTAGATATGAAAATAGAAATTTGACTGAGAAAAGTCTCAACAGCTTTTGGAAAAATGTGGAAGTCATAGCCAAACTCCTCAGCATTTGCTCAAGTGGGGAGAACTTCTCTGCTTGTCAAGCTTTCTCGAAGCATATAAATCTGGGTCTTTGTCTCTATGCAGATAAATGGTTCTGAACGATCTTAAAATATCAAGAATGTCAAAGACCATCCTTCAGTCGTCCAAACAGCCTCTCTCAGGCTGCGGACTACAATGGGTCGATGCCAGATTAGCATATAGCTTGATTCTCTATTTTCATCGGGAATGATTATATTTCTCTGGCTTCGCATCGAGCCTGGGCAGCAGGCAAACCTCGATGCCACCAGTAGTCTTCCAGCTCAGTCATTCATTTGCTGTTATTTGCTCGGCTCACAGACCAGAAGCCATGCGCCAGCATCAATTCCTCTTACTGAGACTTTGAGAATCTTTAGAATAGATTCGATGTGTTCTTGTCATTCGCTTATAATACTCCTCACTGGTGAATACGCCCATATTTATTAGCATATTATCAAGGGCACATGCATTAGCAATATACATATAGCACAAGTCAGGGCATATGCATTTGCAATATTTATAAGCATGCTCCCCTCGGATGTAGGGTATCAGGTGATATTGTTGTTGATTCTGTTTGAAATGATTATGGCGATGATGTTGTATCAAGAGAAATAGTGATGCGAGGCATCCATCTTCCCTAACCGTGCAAGTTTGTGCCATCATCGCATATGATATTTAATGAACCTTGCCGATTCTCCTTGAAGATCTTCATACACGCGCATGAGCTTTCTCTTTCACTAAAGGAACAGAATCGGGAAAAATTAAACAACCTATTATTTAAAAATTTCGACTTACTGTTTTTTTGTCTGGAGAAAAGAGTCAATATTTTGGCATATCCAATAACGTCTTCGAACTCACTCAGACGGCTAACATGCAATCGAAGCACAGAATTATTTAACAATGAAGGAAAAACACCTCCATCACATCTGTCATTGATCTGGAATTATCAGGAATAATATAGAATATATAACGCTTTTAATAATATATAACGCGTTTAGCGTTGTCAAAGTAAACGATGATAGTCAATATTTTGCTGGTAACGATGCTTCGACGTCTATATATCGATATTTAACAGGGGTCTCCGAATAGTTTATAGAACGTGATTCAGTAGTCAAGATCACTGATTATTGAACAAGATTGATGATTTCAGATAGTGACATGGCATTCTTGATTCAATAAAGTAAGCGCTTATTTCAGAACTGTAGACCACAACTACACAATCACTCAATTGTTCAGGTTATGATTTCTTTTTAACATTTTCTGATTTCGAACCACTAACACAAAGTGGTTTCTTAGGCTGAGAGCGAAGGGTAAAAAAAGCCCTTTAACTGCACTTCAATTGAGATGATGAAGGTCAATTTTCGGCTTGATTTAGACATGCAGTACGTGTCCTTCACATTGTACAAGCCATCAGTGCCTTCACAACTTTACTGGTAGAGACCAAAGGATATACTAATCACTCACTATTCGGTTGATTCACAAATTTATAAACGCTTGTTCCACTCAGCCTAATTATGGCATTGGCAACTGGAGAATACTGCCAGAGGAAAATGATGTTCATTCAAGATAAAACAAGGTTTCAGTTACGTTTTGAGGAACGGTCGCAAGGATTAGCATTATTGAATGACATGCAATATGATTGACAATCAAACAATCAAGTTAAAGTGACAGCAAGAAGATAGAAATCTCACAGGTGTCAAACCCAATAAACCAGAAGGGAAGATCCAGAGATCCCGTCTATCTTTCTTGCTTCTCGAAGACGGGCAGCTTATAGTTCCGATGCTGGCCTAAATTTATGGACCTTCGACTCTCATTTCATTCATCTCAGTTCGACAACAAAAACAAACATTCATTCCGGTTACTGAGGATTCATCAACGACACGTATATTCACGGATGGTTGCAAAACTAATTTTTGTTGATATCCTGACTCCTTCCCTTTGAATGATATCGGAAGCAACAATTGAGTCAACATTCATGCAAAACGTTTGTGTTTGTGAATGGGCGCGACCATGAGTCGAGTACAGGAGGATCTAGTACAAGTTAAATCTGATGACATACGAAGGTATTGAATGGACTGGGAGAGTTTGTTGATTACACTAATAGAGTACTGGGACAAGATAGGGACATCTCTCATCACATTTGCGATGACAGATCACCAGAATGGAGAAATCCGTTATCCACTTAAGAATTTCAGGCCGCGTTGCTCGTAGGAGTTCTCACCAATGAGGAAGTTCCGTCAGGTCGATGCCAAGCCTTGCACGTTTATAAGAGGCGAAGCGTGAGAAAACTGTTGCACCCATAAGGTAGTGCTTTCATATGACTCACGAGCAATTGTTCCCAAACCTCGTTATATTGCGTGAAGGTCGAAGGCTGAGGCCACAAGATGAGGCCGTTCTAATCTTTTCGGATTTTCTGAAAAATCTGATACGTGTCAAACGCCAAGCACTAGTGACGAGGTGTAGGCAGAAGCACGGTCAATTTCGGCTGATGCATTGGGGACATGCTCATTGCACACCGTATCGGGTAAATTCCACCAGTTGATACTTCCCACAGCCGGGCATCTCTATCGGGTAAATTCCACCAATTGATACTTCCCACAGCCGGGCATCTCTATTTTGGCCAGCCTAGAATTGAAATCACAGTCTCGGTTGCAGTGCATGGTTGAAGCTTCGCCGCTCATGAGAAAGTTGTCCTAAAGGTGAGATTTTTGGTGGCCGGTCCAGACTCTGGTACGCCTTTAAGCACAGATGTGTGCGAGTCCAAGGGGTACTGATCCGGGAGGATTTACTGCCAACGATTTGGATTTCAATCGAATGAGCCAGTAGGCTGCACGAGATTCCATTTGGTTTCAATTTCCATACTCTTGCCATAAAAAGGTTGTCTTCGCTCTCAATTCAATTACTAGCTTACAGCCAAGAACACTTGCTCATGTTTGCGAAGATTCCGACAGATGGCGAGGTAGGACATCCCTTTCTAGCTCCGTTCTCGCCGAAAGAATCAGGCGATGAAAAAGATGGCCTCATGGGAAGTCTAGACTTCCAGTCAGCGAAAACGGAGCTGAAGCTTCCTTACAAACGAACTCGACTCGAACAGCAGAGCAGATGAAATCGCCAATGAGAAGAACTCCTGATGCAACAAGATTTGCGGCAGCTCATCTTCACAAAATACAACAGACGTGAAGACGAGTTTCTTGCGCAGTAAAGCCCGAAACACCCAGCGTATTCGAGAAAGGCCATCTCTCATCCAGGTCGTTTAAGAACGAGATTGGGCATTCCCACTCGAAGCTCCTACTCTCATCCCAAGACTTCAGGAATGGCGCCGATTCGAATTGCGCATACGTTTCCTTCCGTGACCTCAGTATGCCACTGACTCCAAGTCTCAAAACTACCCCTAGTCTCGTGAGATATGAGAACGACCCACAGAGGTGAAGAACCGCATTTTGATCGGGATCGTACACAGTCGGGGTCTGAAACCCAAAACAGCAGATTGCAGTGAGAGTAAAGGGAACGCACCGGGACTGCACCTCAGGACTTGATTGCACAAGTCACTCTCCAGAAACTGGGGTACAATCTCATCCGTGACTTTGTACACGAAACACTTTCCAGCACAAGATCTGAAAGGAGAAAATGAATCAGAGCAATGTTGGAAATGAACGAACTTCCATAACCTCAGCCTGTGATTGTCTGCAAAATTCTTACCAGAGCAATCGAACGGAGAGTGGGGAGACGCGGGAATCAAGATGCAAAGATCCGAGAACCGAGAGACCGAGAGACTTTCCTCACCGAGCTCATCGGTCTGCAGAACTTGCTCGGACTGAACTTGTCTTCTCACGAGGTATGAGGGCTTTGATCCACAGGACTCAACCTCATCGATCGTCTGCACACTGCTCGATCCGCAGTTCCCAGCAACACATTCTTCTGCAGTGGACCGCACGTAACACAAACTGCACGAGCGCCGGGGCGAAGCAGAGTCAGGCCCGGGAGTCGAACGCTGCCAGCGGGGCAGAGCACCACCTGCCACGCTGGACTGAATACACTGGTCCCCTGTTTTGCCCCCACAGAGTCCGAACATCGTCCCGTCTGTTTCTGAGGCAGAGCATCGCGCAAAATGTTCACGGGGGAGAGCTTCCCGGCAGTCCGGACGAGGACGGGGAGTTCCCGCCCGCATATGACAGGGATAGGTTGCCGGCGAGCGGGCCACCGGTGTCAGCCCTACCGAGGGCCGAGCCTTTCCGGCGGTGGAAGAAGCGGAGTTCGAAAGCGGACGGTGTTTGGCGGGCCCGCTAGTTTCGCGGTCCGTGGACATGCTGGCGGGGATGGTGACCGAGAGAAGAGAGAGGAGGCGGAGGGGCCGAGGCTGAATTGGGCTTCCGAGGTGGACGTCGCGAGAGCTGAGTTGCTGGCTTTCGTCTGCAATTGTGGCCGGATTGGGAATCGATCGATGTTGGCTTCGTGAGTGGAAGTGGTGCCTGCGATGAGCGCGAGTCTGAGAACCGCATGGTCGCGCACTGGAATCGTCGTTCGAGTACAGAAGCAGTCATGGCAGCAGGTCAGTGGAAACGGGGCTCGGGAATTTGCGGGTGTTTGTGTCTGGAGTTTTGGGAATTTAGGGTTTTTGGGGAGTGTTGTCTAGGTTTTGGATTTAGAGCCGATCGAGGATCGGTGGTGGCGGATTTCGCATCCTGTGGCGAATGGCACGGAGATTGATTCTCCCGACTCGACATTTGAGTTTTTGAGACGGGAATTTGTTCTGAGCAGTTTTCCGTGTCTGAAGAAAATGGGAGTGTTGGATTGTCGGCGAGTGAAAGTTGGTAGTGGATGGATCGAGTGTAAATTGTTCCAAATTTGTGTCGCAGGGTAATGGAAGGTTAAGGATTCGTAGATTTGCAACTGCTCAAGAGGAGCACAAAGCCAGCGGTGCCTCCACATCGTACAGTGAGGAAGTGAGGCAAGGATCCTCCGAGGAACAAAGCACACACTCTCAGAAGCCTGAGGGTGGGAGCCAGGATAAAGCAAGAGATGATCCGTCATCGAACACATCTGCCTCTGCCGGGCCGCGATCGTTTTTTGCTGATAAGTTTGTGAAAGGTTTTACCTTTGCATCTTCTTCAGCTACAGCAGGCTTCACAAAGTTGAAAAGCACCAAGGTTGTAGACGCTGTCAAGGACACCTACACTTTTCTGAAAGAGGAGCTCAATACTCCCGCTTCTCGCCGGAAAGCCAAAGCCAGTACCCCTACTACTCCGCCGTCGGAAACCAGTAGTGAGACAGCTATTGTTCCAGTAATCAAAAAAAGGTCCGCATGGCAAAAGAAATTGGACGAGTTTGTGAACAAGGTGCGTAAATTTAAGGAAGCGTATTGCCCTTGCAAATTTTACTGGAAGAAATCAGAGTTGCTTACTTGAAGGGTTGTCTCCAAACCAAAGGCTAAAACTACAAGAACTAGCACCATTTAGATGCAATTCAGCACTTGCTGTAGTATGAGTAGGGTTTAAGGCAAATGTATTGCTCACTCATACTTTGATCCCCAGTATCTCCTGAACTGGAGTGGCAGTTTAATGTGGTTTGACTGAGGTCATTGTGAAGATTTATGGTCTTTTATGGGTGTCTCGTTTTACGTTCATCTGCAGGCGCGCCAGCATCCAGCTTTCAAAAGGTTGAGCAGTGTTAAGCAACACCCAGTTGTCGCCAAGAGTCAAGAAGTAAGATATCACTAGTTTGATGCAACGCAGTAATCTTCTCTTTCTGAGTGGCTGATTCTGTACAAACGAAAGCATCCGCGAAAGCTGTGAATGAAGCGCAGATGTCGTAGAAATTGTTTCAAAATCCCAGGCACTCAGTTCATTATTCATTTCATTTCCAGATGTTCGTATCTTTCCGGTTGGTTACGTAGTTACCATGTCAGAGGCTGCGGATACAGGAAACTTTTAGAATGTGTATTTATGTTCAGGAGACTGTATTTTCAGCTGGCAGAGGACATACGAGAGAGGTGGGAAACAAGTGACAGTCCTGTGGTGCATAAAATCCAGGAGTGAGTTATTTCCTAATCTGCTCATGACGTTGAATTTTATACAAACTATATTTTGCCGATGAATGCGCGTTGTCTGCTTATTTGGGGTTCTGTATCTATATTGTTTTGTCACTGGCACTGAATTGAGATCTCATGTGTCTTCTTGCACCCAATTTCTCTCTCTCTGAATTTTTGGAAGACATATAGTTAGTCAGGTAGTACTTTTTGTATCTGTGTTCAGAAATGTGCTGTTTTGTGTCTTTACGTGGAGCTGAACAACGGCCTTGGCATGGTTTTTACGCAGTATAAATGACTCATTGTTTGGGGAAACAGCTACCGCTGTGGCCATGAAGGAAATCCGGCAAAGAGATCCGTGAGCTTCTCACTCCCACCTGGTTAAGTTTCTTAGTTGTAACCTGAATGTCCTCATTGTCTTGGTTAGTAAGAAACCTGAGCAGAGACGTTGGGAGGCTTTGTTGGACATGAGTTAGTAGTGTCTCAGCCCTTTCAGGAATATGCTGGTTGAAGTAGTGAAACTATAAGATGAGGTTCTGTAAGTCTTTCCTGTTAGCTTTTTTCCCTGGTCTCATGGTGCCATTATTATTCGAATTGCAGGTCTTTTTCTATACCTGATTTTATTGTTGAGCTTCAGGAAGACATCCGGCCGATCCTCATTGCCTATCTTAAGGTACAAATTTAAGAGTTTAACGAACAGAGGTGAACTCGATTTGTTCCTTTCGTGTGTGTGTGTTCATATTCTTGTCAATAGACGTCACTCTGTGTCTCTAATACGAATACCTCGACATTCTCTCTTTCCAGGGTGATTACAAGGTTTTGAGACAAAAGTGCAGTCGGGAGGTAGTGGACCGTTGTCGGGCAGAAAGGACTGCTCTGGAGAGCCAAGGAATCTTCCTGGATCATAAGGTACCATTTGAACTAACCAGTACTTCTCTGGTATTTGTTTCTAATCAGTCCTGGTTGTTGGCTCTACTCAGCCATGTGTAAAGACTAGAAGTTAATTGGCTACGGGGAGAGACACAACTATGAGACATTTATTTACCTGCTGTCCAATCAAATTTGGTGCTTGCTTTCTACCAGGCGTGGCAAGTTGTGAGCAGTTTTTAAGTTCACGTCCCAATGGTGTAGAAAATATTGCTAATCCATTCTTAATAGACTACATAGATCGGTAATGTTCATCGATTTTAATAGTTGTTCCAGGGCTTGCTAGGTTTCTTTATCCTTCTCTAACGAGTTTCCACGTTTTTTGTGCTGTGTTCTTCAGATATTACATGTGTCTGACATAGAGGTAAAAGAAACCAAGCTTATGGGAAATTCTCCAATTATAATAGTGGCTGTAAGTTTCTTTCCTCTACACACTACTACTCCGAACTTCCGTTCTGTGTACACCATAAGGAATTCGCCTTTGACGGAACTTAGTAAATCTTTGGAGAATGTCACTCTACTAAAGTGTTTCCTGCTGTTGGATTGCAGTTTCAAACACAACAGATTTATTGCGCTAGAGATAAACTTGGAAACATCACCCAAGGAGCTCAGGTGAGTCTTTCAGAGAGTATTAATAAGATGGTTCAACTATTTTCGTAGGTTTGCTGCCAATTAATCTTGTAAACCTGATTTTAATCAATCAGGCCTTTAGTCATAAGATCCGCTCTACGTAGCAAATATTGTTTAAGATTTGACATGATCCTCATCGTGTGATCCGATTTTTAGAAGTCTACGACTGTAGTACTGATAAGATATCTGTTTGTGATGTTCTACCAGGATGAAATACATACGGTTTTCTATGCATGGGCTATGCAGCAAATTTCACCCGAAGATATGGAGGAAGGAGAAATACATCCTCGGTGGCAGCTTCGGGAGATGCAACAACTAGGTATTCAGGCTATCATTTAAACATCCCGATGTTTGCAGAAATTACATTATGGAAAATTAATCCATTATTTCTGATAGGAAAATTTTGACCATGGTACCTGTCAGCATTCATTGATTGGGTATCACAACTGAGCTTACAAAAAAATTTCAGAAGCTGCGTTTGCACACCAAATGAGCTATTGTCTTGCGAAGCTGGGCCTAGCTGCCTTTGCCAATTATTGATTGGCTTTGGCCACGTCACTTGATCCTTCCATGTGCACTGACTGTCGTTGTTGACATTTACGATGAGTTGTCATGTACAATTTTCATTATGGATCATTCTACTTTGATCTGCACTTGCCCTGTCAAGTCTTTAGGATCCACGAAGAAGAATGAGATTTGAGTAACATTTTGTGCACCCAGAAATGTACCAAATTGAATCCAGATGCGTGTGCCCTGGACCTTGATATGATTAAATTTTGTATAAACCAAGTCCACAAGATACAAGTGTACGCCACGTCTCAGTTCCAGTTTCTGCGGTTGAAGGGCCACAGGTGTCCCCGTAGTTGTCTCGCATATGTTAATACAGAGGGCAGCTTACATGTGAAGGTCAAGTTTACGGGATCTTTGAGCAAGACGGATAGACAGAAGAAATGTTGACGTCTTTGTAGTAGCTTCTACATTGCTCGTCTCGACAAAACTAAGTACACGCTTAGATGGCAAAGTCACGATTCTCGAGGAAAGATTATGGAACACAGCTGGGATACATCTACAGTCAATGTCATGCCTCTCTCTAGGGCTTGATATTGACTTATTCGAGCAGATACCCACCTCCAGCATCATAATAACAATACCATCATCTGAAATTGAGACGTGACTTCGTAAATATGAACACTTGTTTACACAGTATCAAGATCCATGATGACACATGTCTGTTCAAGCAGTTTCTTCTATGGTCCCGGTGTACTAGTCTTCATAGTAAAAATCTCTATGGGCATCTACTACACCATCATTATACTCCTCTTGCATGGGCTGGTACGGCCTAGCTAGAATCTGGTTTTGGATCGCGGGGGAAGAAGTACTGACCAACATAGTCGGAAAATAGGCAGGAGAATTCGGCCGTGAGGTTTGATCGAGCTGTCCAAATGTAGTCTGACATTTATTAGTTTTAGAGCAGTACTATCAAAACAAGTTCAACCAATACAGAGATGTGGACTAAGAGATATACATTAAAGATGCGTCAAATTTGTGTGGATCCATGCTTTTAGTTTGTGCTGTTTATCGATCAATCGACCGTGGGTAATTTCTTGGTCAACACTATCCCTACAACCATATGTGCTAGGGCTCAGACGGCTTGTAATACATAATCTTAATATCTTATGTTAATCTTAAAATCATTTCTCTGAGTTCAAATATCATACTCCATAACCTTTTTCATATATCTACATAAAGTAATATTGAATGAAATTTAATATTTTGAAAATATTCATTCATAAATGTCGTTTATAAATACAAAACAAAGATAATTTTTTAAACACATCTGTTGTATAAGTCTGAAAGAACTGATTTGTTCAAAAATAAACTCCATAAAATATTTCTCAACTTAAACTTTATATTCTTTAATTCCAAAAATGTGGCATTTAACATACTAACGGGCTGAACAACACAATACATTGTAATTGCTAACTCTTACTAATTAAGGATTCATGCTATTGTTCGTGATTATAGTGTTCACAACTCTATTGTCACCTCAAGTTTTAAATTTTTTTAACAAATTAAGATAATCTAATAATATGGATAAAATAATTTCTGGGAAACAACGACTTTTCAAATTCAAGTACTTCAAGCCAAGAATAAATCAGCTGAAATTGATGTGAATTCCCCCAAAACTATAAACAACAAACCACTTCATTAAGATTCAACATCGCATAATCACTAAAGTACATTCATGGTGGAATTTCAACACAAACATAAATTACAAAAGTTTGAAATCAAGTTTATTTTGGTTGTGCTAAGAAAAGTTTCACTCACATAGCTTTGCATTTTACAGTAAAAAAATTTTTCGTATTTTTTGTATCATATTTGACATTGAAAGGAATATTTTTTATATTTTAATCATATTTATTCAACTATAAAAGTAAAATTGAATTTTGATGCATATTTTTTTCTACTTTTTAAAACATTTACAAATATTTCTACTCATGACCATTGCATAAAAGAAAAATTACAATCAAACCAATCTTAATTAATGCTTCATATACTCTAGATGATTTCAAAATATACATTAAATCATAATTGTTGAATTTAATTTAATTTCTAATTCTCAATGTGTGCTAAATTATGTAATTTTATGTTTTTACGTTATTTCATCTAATCATCATTAATTGATGTTGCATAATAAGTAGCATAATTTAGCTAGTTAGTATAACTCTTGTATGACACATATATATTTGCTATTGTCATATATAATTTGCCATCATGTATTATTGCATATGATCACATATACACATCAAAGATATTTCTTACTTAAGAGTAAGAATATCTTTATACTTGGTATGTGCTATATCTAAGAGTGGCGGATTAAATCCTACACACTTAATATAGGATCAAATCCTACACACGATATTTTTCTTCTTGCATCAACCCATGACCACATTTGTATGTGTTGGTAATACATATGCATGTAATCATTCAACAAGTAAATCTTTCCCAAAATAAATGAAATTGTTGTTATGTGAATGTACATATTGAAACTAGAAATATAATTTAAAATGATGTATTCAAATGATTGATGTATATCATGATGATTAATAACTTACTAGTGTCTGTTATAAGTCTATTCAAAATAATTAAAAACCATATATATGATATTTTTTTGAAAAATATTTTTTATCCCTAACACCAAAATATTTGATTCCAAGATGATTCTAAAATGATAATACAACAATTCTAACATGTAACATAATTCAATATGTTTCCAATTTTGTGTTGGTAATACATATGCATGTAATCATTCAACAAGTAGATCTTTTTCAAAATAAATGAAGTTGTTGTTATATGAATGTACATATTGAGACTAAAAATATAGTTTAAAGTGATGTGTTCAAATGATTCATGTATATCATGATGATCAATAATTTGCTTGTGTCTTTTATATGGCTATTCTATATTATAAATAACCATAATATGATATTATATCAGAAAATATTTTTTATTACTAACACCAAAATATTTGATTGCAGGATGATTCCAAAATGATAATACAACAATCTAACATGTAACATTATTCAATGTGTTTGCAATTTTGTCTATTTTCACATGCAATTATGAAATGTACTAATATTTTAGAGACACAAATAACCTTGTAATTAACCTACTTACATTAATTACCTAGTAATACAATATTGTATTAGTAACATCAAATTTCAAAATCATTAATGTGTAAAGTTGTCCAATAATAACATCATATCACTAATGGCAATAGTGACATGATACTATTCGATAATGACAATTTCAAGTGTAATTTTGAGATTAAGAAATGTGAAAGATGTTAATTTAACAATTTTTCTTAACAATTTACTCTTTCTTGCTTGGTCAAGATACTCAATCACGAAAGTTTTACCAACGCTAGGTTCATCAATAAATAGAGCATTCTTTTTTGTTTGACAAAAATGTGCACTTCACAAATATGAATAATTCTGTACTAATTTACTCGCACTTGGTGATGAAAAAATTTAGATTGCATGATTGTTCAACAAGATCTTTACCGGAATTCTTTGAAGCTTGAAAAATGATGTCTTGGATCTCATTTTTAAGCTCCTTGCCCTCATCACCTCGAACATTTTTCAACTTCTCCTTGATCTTGGCAGCATGAACTCCGGCTTTATACAGACAATCTTATATTTGCCAATCATCGACAACGGCGATAATGATTTCATTGATGGACAAATGCAAGTCTCCCCTCTTCTTGTGCAAAGAATGAAACTTCCGAATGCACTTTACGAGAGCAATTTTTGTCCGAACTTCTTTAAGATTGAAGAATTTTCCAGAATTTCATTGGCTGTCAGTTTCTAAGAGGAGTTCATCTTCAGCGATTGATTCAACGTACTTTCGACCGAAATCACAGATTCATCGCCCCTCGTTGCTTCTCGCCCTTCTTACGGCTTGACTGATATTGTAACAAAGCATCTCTGAAATGAAATGATGTGAATAGTGCATGGTCTGTATTGATCCGCAGCTATGTCATTGATCTTATGGATAAAGCGCTTTGGATACATCACTTGATTTCTTTTTTATCTACAATAAAATTGTGGACGTTTTCAAAAAATGCTTGAACAACATCGCTTCACTCTTCTCTTTATTTGCTTACAAAAATTTTCTCCTCCTTGTCTAAATCACCACAAGCAAAAGTTGTCAAATCGTTTGATTGTTAATTTTCTGGACTGCAGTAACATATTTTGCTACTGATCATATACTTGATTGTTTCAAAATGCAACTTTGTAAAATTTTGTTGATGGATTATCGGATGACAAGTTTTTTGAAGGTCAAATAGAAGCTTACGTTGAACTTCTATTCATAAAATGACTGGAGAAAAAAAGTTGATCAAATAAGTGATTGTCCGATTTGTTTGCTAGATGGTCACTAGAGATACAATCTTGACAACATCATCATCATTTGAATTGCTAGTACTCTGCATAAGGTTTTGTTATTTCAATATAGATTTGATAATGCTAACATCATCAACATTATTGTCATTAGTTGTATCAAGAGCATACATTTTAATTAGATCTTCAAAAACTTGTTCAATCATTGCGTCATCTTCAACTAGGTATACTGAGAAAAAATCATCAAGTCAAATTTTTTGAAATTTTTTTTATAAATCATTCACAATTTGATTTGATTTGGGACTAGATGGATTGATAACTTGATTGGATATGAGTATGAAAATGACAAATAAACAATTTGCTTTGACAAAGCATCATCACGTATTATACTCCTTTATGACATTTGATGCTAACTTAAGCTTGTCAAGCATGTTGCGTAGGTGTCTATGATCATTTATCGGAAACTAAGAATCATATACTTGTTCACTTGATTGCCAATTTTCATACTCTAACATTAGATGATTGAGTTGAATATGACAAAAACGTGGTTTGAAAGACGGAATGATTTTTTGATCAAGTGATTGACATTCGTGAATAGCATTTGATGAAAAAAAGATCATGCACATATTTGAATATTATAAAAAATTTTATAGTGATCCAAATGGATCTAAGATTTTGGACTCATAAACATGAGTTAAATAATTGTCTTGAAGTATATAAAAGATGGGATTACAGTTCTTGACAATTATGTTGTACTTATGCCGGAGTTGCATGTAAAATTATGTATGTCGTCAAACTTTAGTTTAATGGTCATGTATAATTTCAAACATCTTACTGATATCAATAATATTCTTCACACGTGAGCAAAAACTCTTTGCTATAATCTGTATAATAAGTATCTCACCTAAAATGCTAACTTTCAGTATCAAAGTGTAAAATTATTTGCTTTGCTTGACATCAATACCATCCAAATTGATTGTGCAATATTATCTTGATGATTTTTTCTTTACTTTGCTTGACATCACGATCATATGAACTAACTATGCGGTATCAACTTGACTATGTTGTAAAGCTGACTCGTCAATATTGATAATGCATTCGAGTGTTACATCAATCAGCGTTTTGAAGAATTCATGCAAATATTTTTCCACCTACATGAGATTATGGCTGTTATTTTCTCTAGACTTCTTCTTGCTATATGTCAAGATGTGCTTCAGATATTTCTCGAACCTTCAATTTGATGCAACAAATTTTTGAAGAGAAATTGAATGTGATGGTTTCAAACATTCCGCAAAGTCATGCAAGATCTTGTCTCAAAAAAATATAATCTTGTTTTTTAGCACATCGTCACTCATTTTAACCGTTTTAACTCATCTATCTCAACATTCACATGCGATTAATAAAATATGTTTGTCAGAATTTGAACTCAAGTTGATATATGAATCTTTTTAAATCCATATTGATTTGATTTCAATGCCATTTACTTGATATCTTCTATCTACTTCCATATGTCTTAACTAGTTGGACATTTTCACTCTTTCAAGATCTTTGAACCAGTTGGACGCGCAATTTGAAGTTGGTTCCAGGTTGATTGAGAAAATTGAGAACTGCTAACTTTATCTTGACGTCCAAATGTTTAAGCTTTTTTTCATTTATAGACATGTGTGTGAGTATCTGTATGTGCAACGTTGATCGCTGTGAACAGTATGGAATAGCAAATGAATGCGATCTTGCAACCAAACAACGCATGATGGAATTTGCTTGGACTAGTAGAACCTAAACCTAAAATTATGCTCACTTTACTTGTGTGAGTGACACCAAACCCTAAACCATTGTGTCACTATTGGGAGGTTATGCTCTGTATTGGGATATTTGATAAATATATTTTTAGCAACCTTTGGGAATGAATCCAACCTTAATTAAATACAGTTGTAGTAGTGCTCACGACCCCAATCTCAAGAAATGATTGCGTAAGATTTCTCGATCTATTGATGAATGACTTTTCTAGGATTCTCGAAGTTGAAGTCATGGAACTGCTAAGTATCATATTCACGGCACATAGCAAGTATACAAGTCCATCATTTCGATACCTCAGCTAACCTGAGGGTCAAAAGGTTTCGGCCTGAATTGTCGTGTGGTATTTAATTATGTATGGTGGGATTCCCATCTCATATTCATTGTATTTTCTCCAAGTCCAAATCGAATATTGATCGATTTTTAATAATAATTAAAAGTCGGAAATATTTTTACCGTTCTCTTAAGAAGCGTCTAGAGAGTGACGTGCATGCATGGATGCTCCTGCAGTTTACGTCAGTGCATTCATAGAAGCTGCGTTGATTCCGTCATCACCCGTAACGTCCTCTCTCTCCCTTTTACTCATCGGCTATATGGTACCAGCTTGCGTCATGACTCGTAATGTCACGCATCATGCCTCGTACAATTCGAAACGATGGCCGTCAGAAGCTCTGCCGTATTCTGCGTCGGGAGCAGAATGAAGAATATAATGAGAACTTGGCATGTGTCAGGATGGGCTTGGACAGATCAGCCGCTCACACAAGTCAGCCCGACCGAAATGATTCGAGAGAGTTCCCAAGTCTGAGAAGATGCTTGTTTAGCCTTACTTGCGTGAATTCGCATTTTCAGCGTCTATCTATGACGGGGCTTTGTCAATCAAGATGCTGATTCGTCGAGCGACATTCATCAGATGAATTCCTTACGTTTCTCTATTAAAGTCGGGCTGACTTGTTCTGCTTGAATGAATACTCTGCTTTAGTCAAAAGCATGGAATAAGCAGACTATGCAGGAATCGCCTTGATCGAACCTTTCTTCTAGTCGCAGGGATTTCTACCTGAATTTGGGGATTCAATTCCTCAATTCAAGACCTCACTCTCATGCTGCTCGAAAGGATTTCACTCAAGGTCATCTGCGTTCAATCAACACTCATCATGATCTTCACTGGCGGTCTTCCACGACCGGGCATCCTCAAAATCATTTCCATCGGTACGGATCAAAGTATTTGAATTGATGAAATTGATCCTGATTGTTTAATACTGCCCTGTTCCCTCGGTGCGACAAAGACTCACTTTTTTCTGACCAAAAAGTTACTCAGACCTTTGAGGTCCTAGGCATGATGCATGTGAGGAAATGGTCCAGTCCGACGGTCTCATCACTATTAAGACCCGAGCATTGCTTCTCATTCAACACCGATATGACGTTATGGACTTTACAGATACTCTGTACTGTAAACCGCAAACACTGACCAAGCATCAACAGAACAAAGCTCGGGAACGGAGAGGCTAACTACACTATGCAAGGTGGATTGTACTAAAAGAAGAGAGATGGCATTGCAGCTGGGGACAAGATGACGCTTTTTGTTCCATGTGCTGTAACAGTCGTGGACAGAATACAAATATGATTTCAAAAAAAGGCTTGACACATTCTCGTTACTTTCGACGTTGCACAAGAATGAATGAATGATATTCAATGACGCCACGAAAAGGCAAGTGGGGAAATCAGACATCATGAGTAACGCTCCTCTGGGAACATCCTTGATTCAGCGTTGGGAGAATTTGACCTGATGGATAGGCTATTCTTAGGTTATGTGTTTTGGTGGGGTTCCTTTCTGAAACGGTTCTGGTTTGGTCTTTCCCACTGCTTTTCTGGGCTTGGGAGCTCTTTCATGGACTCTTGAGTACAGCCCTTTCATGTTTTATGGTGCAGCGTGGACTTGTCTTCTACTTTTTTTTTTCCCCAATTTTCTCGCAAGGGTTTGAGTTCTGTCATTGATCTGATGTCTACTGCAAGAGACAGCAATCATTGCCAGCCAAATGGGAAAAGGGCGGTGTAGGTTTTCTCCTTGCTGCTGATGAGAATGATGGAAAATATCACAGATACTAGAAAACATTTGGTGTCTGAAGATATGGATCACGAAAAACTTCGCGTTCCGAGCAATAGCGAAGTACAACACATAATTCCAAACCTTTCATGAACCGCCAAAAGTTTAGTCTTTTGGAGTACGGCCCTGCACGATCTTGGGAGAAATTTGAGGACCGAACGCTATGAGGCTGTTAAAACGGCTGCGGAAGACTGCGCTGGAGAGCAAAGAATCACTGTCGGTCAATCTACCGCTGAGATGATGGCCTAAGCTTGAACCTGGACTCGTGACCTAAGCTTGAGCTCTGGCAGTCCAGAACCTGTACAACTATGTACAATATCCATGAAATAAATGCACGTTCCCAGCATGCATGCGATGTTTCTTTCAAGCAGCGAGACTTCCTCTTCTTCAGGAATAAATTATCGTTGCTCAGAGCAGAAATGAGTCCACAAAGAGGCTCTCAATAAAGTTCGTCAGCACAGTTTGAGAAGACATGAAGTGCACCTGGAGTTTCTGGTGACCAGGCAATATATTGATGGTTTTGGTCAAGCTTCTATGAAATAGAATTGCTATCACTCACTAGTTTCAATGTCATGGTTTCTCGTAACTTGCGCATTATCCGCAAATATATAACAAGGAGAAAAAAAACAGTTGGAAGCTTTGAGACCAAGTAGAGAAGACTCGTTGCTAACGTTCCGTCGGTCCTATAAATTTTGTCCTTCATCTTTCAGGCGCAGAACTATATGTTCGAACCAACCTTGCAGTTAAAGTTGTTTTGCCTGTCAGCTCCTCAGGACTTGGTTGGATGTAGGAGCACAAGGAGGACGAGTAAAAGGCTTCAGTCCTCTCAATCTGCAGTCCTCTTCTCCTTTTGTGTGATTATCGTGATCTCCTGCCCTCGCTTAACCAACAATGAGCATAGGTTTCTCCAGCGTTCTCGTCTAAGAGCTCATTTGAAAACAGGCAGAGTGAATACTCACACTCTCTATGAGCAACTCCACTCCGGTCGAGCTGGGAAAGAAAAGGACGGACTTAAGGAATAATTAGCTAAAAGTAAGAAAAAACCACATTTTAGGCTTTGTAAAGAAAAGCCTAAGCACGTTCCTGAACCGTTTACACAAACGAGATAAAAGAATAATAGTACCTATTGTTGTGGATCAATTCGTCACTTGCTGTTTGAATTGAAGGAAGAGGTAATGAGAAAAATTGCTGGTTAATATATACACATTCCTGTTTTATGTTACTGAATTTGGTGATTTTTTATGCCACTTGCTATGAAGAACATTGGTTAAATACAGAAAACTATTTATAATTGACTGGTTTTTCTTTTACTTTGTATTTTTGTTCGAATATTTCCCACATTGGTGCTTTTTATACGAATAAAGTACAAATTCAACTTATGTGCTCGTAAGAAAGTTAGAACCTGAGGGTTTTTTCTATATTGTGCGAACTGTTCGTATTTTACTTATTTCATCAGCATGCTTTCAAGTACTACTAATTTACCACTATCAAATTTGGAAGACTACGATTGGCTTCAGCAAGTTTACGATGAGCATCCCTTCTTTTCTAGCGCAATCCCCATCTTTTGGGAGGCCTCTCGTATCTCAGACATAACATTTATGTAGGCTTGAGCTCTGCTGGCCTATAAATAATTTGACTCCTGATAGAGTAGGCTTTCGCAGATTACTAGCTTTTGTAAGGCAATGGTTATTTCACGCAATGACGAAGGCAACAACGCATTTCGGAAAATTCTCCGAACATTTCTACGATGATATTATTGGAAACGAGATTCTCGCTCTCTCTCTCTATCTCTCTCTCTCTCTCTGCAGTGTCACCCGGTGTTCTCGTCATTGACAAAACATTGTATTTATCCCAGTCACCTGCGGCGATACGTGCGCAGGACCTGGGGAACAGCAGGACCTGGGCTGCTGGCTCGGTCGCGAACATCCGCAACGTACCAGAGTTTGTCGATTATTATGTCAGTAGAATCTGAATGTATTGCAAAGGACCTCGGCTGCTAGGCCGGACGAATGCTGTAAGAGGCTCAGAGGAACGGTCGTTGCTTTTGTCAGTAAAGAGAGATCTTGTGCTTCACCAAGAACTCACTTACCAATCAGTCAACCCATATGCTCGGTTGCCGGGAGAAACAGCCGAGACATACCAACATGGTCGGTCCAGTACGGTGCGACAATGGCGGCGCTAAGGTTGCACTAACACAAGCTTCCCGGTGAGCTATGGTTTCTTACCTGTGGGTTTTCGAGCGGCGAAGTGCTGTTAATGAACGTGTCCATTTAAAAAGTAGGCGGATCACAAATATCGGTGGCAAGGCGCAATGCTAACAGTAACGACATAGCTCGCACCTCGAGAGACATACGACGGGTTGTGAGAGTTTGTTCTCCATGGACGCTCCTCATTCTATCGTCTTTGCATCCATTTTTTCGCTGCAGAAATCGCATGGGCATTGACTTGGGACGATTCTCGTTCAGAAGACGTCGCTTTCAATGTTTGAATGCCTGCTAATTCCAAAGCCACCAACTGCAGGCACGAAGGCATAATGCACCAAGACGCTACGAATTTTTCAGTCATACAAATTTTACCAGGATATCCTGCTCTGTACCGACCATATCCAGATGCTGCGAGAGTAGTGTCAGCTACTGCTAACAGTCCCGTCAGCCTCGTTATTTCTTAAACAATCTTCTACTTTTATCAATCTGCTGGGATGTGACTAGAAAGCGTGTAGAGACAAAGCTGTGGACCAATGGAAAGGGCTGAAACGAGGATTGCGTTCACATGCATTCCCCCGGTCGATGGCATTGTTGAGATCAGGGATGTGCAGCGAAACACCCTATAAAACACCCATCCCGAAAAGCCCCAAGGGGCGGCAATCACCCTTGGATCGTACTGGGACGGCGACGAGCCCCAGGGCATCCCAGGGGAGGTATACAAAGTAGGATTCGAATTGCAATGACTCGGCCCATTTTGAGGTAAAGGAGGTCGACTGCACACCTTCCATGTTTTGTCATCGCCTCTGCTGGTAGGGCAGAGCAAGTGAATTTGTCCCTGCTCGCGGATCAAGCACGTGCACCACTGCTTTTGCTCGCTCATTTATTTATCTACACTCCACTTGGCAGTAGACTGCGTGTTTGCAGAGCTCACTGTATGTGTACGTCAAGCTGTGGGTTCTACAGGGCAAATCTATTTAGTGACGGCTACATCAGGATTCCGATGCCAGCAGCTTCGAACATTGCTTCATACTATCTACCACGAGCTGGCAGCCCCGTCTGTAAGTCCTCTAGGCGACGGTTGTCGCTCGGAGCCTAAGTGACATTAACATTCCCCTTGAATTATTCCAGATTCAGAATGGGTCCAGTTTTCAGCCATAAGTCTGGAAGAAAACGACATAAATTATTTTTTCTGATGGATAAGTACAATATATAAGAAGGTGTGTCGTTATTTCCGTATCAGGCACAGGAAGAGCCCACTTCGTTGTCTCACGTTTCTACTCGGGCAGTGGTCCCATGAATAGAACATGCTCTTCTTTAGAAAGAACTTCTGAAGGTGGACAGCATTACTAGCTGAAAAGCACCTCTTACGAACTCCTGGAGTCTCTGCCATCCCGAGATATTAATTATCTACAATGAGCTCTGCTCTTTCTATACCCACAGTTTCCTTAGTCTCTCCATTATTTTGGAAGAACACTGCTGGAAAGTCCAAAACCCCACAAGCGTAGTGCCTTCACACTGACTTCTGCTCGTAGTTCTCTAAGATTTACGTGGTTCATGACGTCTATCAATCAGTACGGAAATTCAGAGTTCAAAATAAACAATTCAGCTGCTGCAACTTGCGAGAGGATGGTGCGGTATATCCAGCCCACAGGATCGTTCGCAACCAGCATCAAGCGATGGCATGCCAACCGCAGGGCCATATATTGACACGTAGATAACAAACCGAAAGCAAAAACTGGGTGAAGCCTTGGCAAGATGTCAACGCTGGCATGGTCGCCCACTTTTCGTCCTCACAATAATGTCGCAAAAAATCTAGCAGTTCGTCGGAAAAGGGATTCAATCCGTCATCGTTCCACGAGTCTTTGCGTAAACGTGTGCTCGAATGTGCTTAAAGGTAGTAGGATCGATCTCTAACATTGTGCGTCCAAAGCCATTGACCTTTGTTTGGAAATCCATCCCCAGGGATACAGCGAGTTGGGGTAGGACTGGAGAGGATCTAGGATGGGACTGTGCTCTGGACTCACAATGTCCACAGCAGCATTCTCCCGCTGCCTACTGAATGTTCTTATCTCCCGTGGACTCGAGTAGACGACATCGGTCTTCCACGCTTCCGACCGTCGATTTCTTCCAGGCCCACCACCAGCTGCTTGTGACGATGTGTCTCTTGTTATAACCCACAGCCCAGGTTCTGTTGGACGTTATGCAACCAAAAACAATCTTCCAGATACTGGGACGATTTCCCTTCGGTATGGTTGATATTTATCTTGCCCTCCAGAAAAATGGACAGATGCATGAATTCAAAGAGTTGTATCGATGAATACAAATCTAGCCATCGAGGACTTGCAAGACAATAAAGCTGGCATTTTGATGGATTCTGAGTGTGTGCCAAGTCTCCTTTCCGGGTCTTCCATATTCTAACTTTATTTTTGTTACAGACGTAGCATGTAGGTGATGGAGATTGGTTGGACCTCTTGTAATCACCAACCGTGTGATCGTTGACGACGACTATAAGTCAAATTGGGAGTCCACGTAGGGATAGCGATCTTCATAGAAAGGATCTAG